GGTTTGAAGGGTGGGACAGCCGTTGTAGCTATACTGAGACCTTAGAACTTATATCTCAAGGTGGGTTGCGCATTTACGTTGTAGATATCTATGGGCTTGTGGGAAGTGAGCTCGTCCACCCATCTAAGCAATAAATAAAAAATACTTTCTGTTTTCAAAGTCTGGATGTACCTGTCCTTGAACCCGCTTAGTTCACTGCTATATTTTCTCAACAGGTCGCGATTCTGATTCGATGTCAGATTCACTAGCGAAGCAACTGCTCTTGAGCAAACATTACCTCTCCTACCTGAATCTGAACTTATCCAGTAGCCCTGTAGGATGAGTATCCTCATCAAGCCAACGAACCACTAGTAATCTCAACTTACTAAAAGTACCACAGCAATCAAATCAGGATCTCTTTAAAGATAAATCAACGAGATGATCAAAAATGTTTTGAACGTTCGACGTGTGAAATCCACGCAATGGTATTAGGGGCCTTTAAGTCCTAAGATCCACCTTAATTACCTTATCCATAATTTTGTAAGTCCTTTTGAAGAAGAGGCTATCGCCAGCTTTATAGCTAGCACCGGAATCTCTATACATCAATAAAACAATGTAAGACAGTTATATATGAAATATTTAAGTTTTTAAATGAAATCAATCAATCGAATGTATTTAAATTATTTTTAGGGAATCTTAGTGAATCGTTACTTGCTAGTTCTCAAATCACGTACATTTTAAGTAAGTGACCTATATACAACCTATGACGTAAAATATTATAGTATTTTGTTTGGAGTCGTAAATAGGACATATTTGAAACCATTTAATAAATAATACATCTTATTTATGTAAATCATATATCGTCGTTGTCAAACCAAAATCTGACTTTTTGAGATTTTTACTTTTTGCCCTTTTTGTATAGTTCACAGCCCTATCTATATACCGTATAAAAAAATATGTCATGTGTCTATAGCTTTAACATTTATCTATAGCTTTCATTTGATATAGTTCTTAAAAATTCACTTTCATATAAAATTTTATTTATACGAAAATGTTTTTAATCGTTAATTCAAAATAGAGTTTTTGCACATAGCAGATTTTGGTTTGACAACGACGATATGTATTATGTAATATCATCGATGTAAATATATCATATATGTATATTTAATCATGTGCGTTTGTGTGTGTTTCTTATAGACTTCGAAATGGTCAAATCAATTCGATGTTTTTTTTAGGAAATCTTCAGATTAGTCTAGCGGGTGATTCCGTAAGGTTTGGTAGCGGTCGGATCAAAATAAACTCGGGTTTTACTGGTTGATTAACAAACTCAAGATTGGTTGAAATAGTTATAACCATGCCGCTAAATATCAAGACTGTTTATTTATTATTTCATCATCAGCCTGTATCTCTCCACAACTGGATGTAGGCCTCTCCCATAATCCGCCACAATGAACGATCCTCCGCCTTCCGCATCCAATCTTTCCCAGCATATCGCCGCAAGTCGTCGGTCCAACGGGCAAGGTGACGCCCAACGCTGCGCTTACCGGTACGCGGTCTCCAGTCCAGAACACCAAGACTGGTCCAGTTTATTTATTATTACAAGACAATTATCAGCATCGTAATCTAGTAACAGGCGATTGAATGAATAACAATAAATAACTGGGAACAAATCACGCACGTTCATCCCGCCTCAAAACCGGATTCCCTGTGTTATAGGTACCAGAGACTGACATACATACTTATATACCTTCAAATATATAACATATGTATATAAATATAATATTGAATTGCGTTATAGTGTCTGTCCACACGTAAAAGTTTCTTGAGAGAAGTACCTAAAAAAGAATACCTACATTGTTCTCGGAGACTTTCAACACGCCTTTAGTTATGTGAAACGAATTGACAATCTGTCTTATTTTATATCTTCAAGGGAAATATTATGTATTCTTAATTAATATTAAATAATTCGAGATCTAATATTTTCAAGTAATAAAACATGACGGAAGAGGTAGCGTGGGTAGGCCTCCCACAAGATGAACTGACGAACTAATGAGGTTCGCGGGGATCTGTTGGATGCAAGCAGCGCAGGACCGATCTTTGTGGCGAGGCTTGGGGAGGACACACCTTCAGTGGACATCTGTGGGCTGATAGAAAGAAACAAAGAAAAAGCATGAGCATCTCATTAATAGATCTAAAGTTTTCAATCATTAATATTACTTATACCTTCCTTTCAGGCGCACTTTTCCAGCAATGTTTTAAATGAAGATTACGTTGAAAGATTATGATAAAACTTTAAATAGATACAGGTCAAACTAGAAGCGTGTTAAAAAACACCGAACCCCTCAAACTCATACCCAAGCGTCACGGTGACGCGATCTCCAATCTGGGTCGCACTTAAGCCGTCAAATAAGATGAAACCGCGTGGAACATTCGATGCGACACACCCTTCAAACGACGCGCACGCTGGCACACTTCATTTGTTAAAAGTCTCTTCCGCGCCGTTGAACTGTATAATGGAAACTGCCTATGACAGATTCAGATAAACAAGAAGCAACTTCTCTTAAGTAGACTCAAAGAAGCTCTAAATTTATTTACAGTTCACTGGACTTTCGCTTTGCAGGTTTTCCAGGTGATTTTTACGTGCAGACCGTTTTATGTTTTACTAACATTGTTCGGAGAAATTGTTGCGTCAAGAATCTCAATGTATTGAAATGGCGGGATTGCTAGTAGCCCGAAGCCTTAGCAACTTCACGAGGACGGAAGAAATCTAAAATAACCTTACGTAAGGTCCGTTGCTACTAATTAAAAATGTTTTATGATTTTTGCGAGCGGGGCTGCGAGTGGTTCGGCAATTTGTTTGCTAACCGATAATCCCAATTGACCGAAGAAAGGTTGCTGTTGCTTTTCTTAGCAGGAAAGGCATCAACCGCTAAGAAGGATGGTAATCGGACAGCGAAGGTATCGTCAAAGCCAGTTACTGATTACTAATGGTGTTCCATAACCTAGACACACTGTCATACGAACACGGATGGTTCAATCTAGACTAAAAGCATAGTCCAGGCGGCTAGCCGGCCTGTGACCATTGAAGCAACCGACCAACGGCCTTCTAGATAGTGCAATTCAGACAACGAATAGCCATCATCTTTAATAATAATATATACCGCCATAATTATTCATAACTTCAAAAAATATATTGCAGCGACATTTAGTAGAAAATCATTTAAAATGGAAGAATAAACTTAGTATATAATACATACTCTATAAACAGGATTTTATTTAAAAAATATATTTATTTACGTTTAATATATATATAATAAAATATTAACTTTATTATTATTATCGAGAAGTATCTTGATTGATATATATTACAAGACTTCGTTTTTTTTATTCAGAATCATAGGCGTGAGGTTTGCTTATTAGATATAAAATAATTAATAATCAGGAAATTAGGTGTTTTTAGGATCGAACAATCACCAATAGTCGTCGAACAAACGATAATTCATCAAAATAATTAATCTGAGCGATAAAAATAAAGATATCTAGTAAGATCGGCTAACTTAAGGGTGAACATTTATTTAATTAATTATAAATAAATAAAAGACGAACAAACCATTTTTACATTCAAACATTAACGAATAAACGACGAACATTTAATTAAAAATAAAAAAAATCCGAAAATCAAAAAAGTGGGGCCAAATTCAGTGACCAATATATGAGTGAGAATAGGTTTTCTTGGTAGCCTGCATATTAATACACTAAGTAGTCTGTGGAGGCGGTACTCTTGAGTTTGTTGAGGACTTTTTGGCGGGAACGCGAGGAGTGAAGTTGTGTGATTTGTTTTATTTTGTCTATTTAGTGTTTCTTCAGGTTTAAATGTGTAATAATGGTGGTTTATTAACTGTTTAATATCTGTGAAAGTACACAAATGTGGGAAAATGAAACAAAGCTGCTGGACGTAACTTCTCGGGCTCCTCCAAAAAGTCCACTGAAAAAATCTCAGTTAATGACCACCATTTTACTGCGATTATATTTCATCCCATATCATTTCATTTCATTAAATTTCATCCCAGTTGATTAATGTCTCAAATTAATCATCTTCATTTCATTTCACTCCATATTATCATTTTTCATAAAATTAAGAATATAAAGTAAAATAAGACATGACTTAAAGGTCTTAGTTACCAGGTCATAAAATCTCTTTTAAATGAATTTGTTGTCCCCAAAGTAATATTTTCCAAATAAGATATGACCTAAAGATCTCTGTTACCAAGCAATAAAAAAAAAGAGCTTGTTGTAAAGTGTGGACTTTTTGGCGGAAACGTGAGGAGTGAAGTTGTGTGATTTGTTTTAATTTGTCTATTTAGTGTTTCTTCAGGTTTAAATGTGTAATAACGGTGGTTTATTAACTGGTTAATATTTGTGAAAGTGCACAAATGTGGGAAAATGAAACAAAGCCGCTGGACGTAACTTCTCGGGATCCTCCAAAAAGTCCACTGAAAAAATCTCCGTAAATTACCACCATTTTACTAAAAATAAATTTCATCCCATACCATGAGCGGATGACTTAATTTCATCCCAGTTGATTAATGTCTCAAATTAATAATCTTCATTTCATTTCACTCCATATTATCATTTTTCATAAAAATAAGAATATAAATTAAAATAAGACATGACTTATGGGTCTTAGTCACCAAGCCATAAAATCCCTTTTAAAAAATTAGTTTGTTGTGGACTTTTTGAAAAAGTTTCAGTAATTGACCACCATTTTAACCCATTTATTTTATCTCATATCATCTCACCTCATCTCATTTCATTTAATTTCATGCAATTTTTCATAATAATCAACTTCATTTCACTTCTCATTTTAAAATAAGACTTGACCTAAAGGTCTTCGTTACCACGTCATAAAATCCCTTTAAAAAAATATGAGTTTGTTGTGTTGAAACTTGAAAGTTGAATGTTTTCAAACAAGTTGAATGTAATTAGAAACATAGATTAAACACTTAATATATTCGAATTAGAAAGTAGGCAATGATTCCATATACCGTTATATTCCATTTTTATCGGAATCGCTTGGTCTTTTGTTAGTGCGTGAATTTATATTAAGCCGTAGAAATGCTCAACGTTTTAGACTTCGTGTTCCTGAATCTCGCTATCTCGGTGACTTTTACCGGTGTTTTAATAAAAAAATTCGGAGATTATGTTCCTGCTTTCATAAAAAAAAGTTTCTCCTATGGTTCCTTCGCTTATCAAGGATCGGAAGCGAACTTTTTACAAATAATTGAAATACCTAAAGCTTACTACAGACATTTTTATTTATTTTCGTCAATTTTCAGTGTTTTATCATTATTTTATATGATATTCGTTTATTTTCTCGGCTTTAGTGTAAACGAATATCTCTTTACCGCATTGAATTATATTCTACTCGAAGATCAAACCCCTGGTAAGTTATTTTTATTTTAATGTTTACGTTAGGTGCAGATTCACAAAGATTCAAAATTGACACAAATCCTACCACAGGATTTGACTAAAACTTTCGGATACCCAGAACTTAAGTAAAAATCACAATTATCTATACTTAAATTTTTTTAATTTAAAACAGTGTATTTAAGTTTCATGGCTTGATAATAAAGTCAATTTTGGATAGCACTGTCTGGATAAATTCTCAATTAGATCTGAAATATATTCCTAGAAGATTTTTTTAATAAATTTACATACTAAATATGTAATGTATTCTATTTCAGTATCAATCACAGCAGCTCTTTTGGCACTCTCTCTTCTCACCTTGCAATGCCTACGGAGACTATATGAGACGTATTATTTACAAGTATTTGCAAAGTCCAGCAAAATGAACATTAGCCACTATTTCGCTGGAATCATACACTATTTTGCATGTATAGTTGTGTGTGTTGGACAAGCACCACTGTTTTGTGGTATGGATGGCAATATTATTTGATAGAAATCTTTCTATTTAACCATTTTAGTTTTATTTTATTTTACATAGTTAATTTTGTACAAAAAATTTAAATATTTTTTTATAGTATTATATGTATTTAGCGGTAGGCAGCGGCTTGGCTCTGCCCCTGGCATTGCTGAAGTCCATGGGCGACGGTAACCACTCACCATCAGGTGGGCCGTATGCTCGTCTGCCTACAAGGGCAATAAAAAAAAATGTATAACAAGTAACTAGTGAGTTGTTAAATATTCAATATATATGCTACTTAATTTACAGAGATGGCTTTACACAGAATAAACAAAAAACACTATTATATTATGACCTTAATAGTAACTAAAATTTAATAAAATATATTCTATTTCAGGAAGTCAAAATAGAGAAAAAGTGACATGGATTGATACAAAAACTACAATTTTATTTGTACCCTGTACCTTAATCTTCCTTTGGTGTTGGTATGAACAGTATCAAACAAACATCATATTTGCATATCTCAGAAAAGACAAAAAATCAAATAAAATTGTTACAGAAGACCATCGTGTACCTAATGGGAGAATGTTTAAATATGTTTCGAGTCCCCATAGAATGTGTGAGATAATAATGTACACTGTTTTAGTATTTTTAATAACAACAAAGACTTTTGTGTGCATTTATTTATGGGTTTTGTCTAATCAGGTAAGTTATTGATTTTAGATATTGGGTATGTTATTATTTTTATATCTGCAGGTGAAAAACAAGATCAAAGTTTCAATTGTATAAATGTTTTCCAACCCTTCAATCCTCATTGGGTCGCTACCCACAATAATCAAAACAGTGGCACACTTATTTTGAAAGTATTTAAAAAATCTGAAAGATGCCTATCAAAAAGTGAATTGGAAGAGTGCTTACCAAACAAACACAGTAGACACATTTTGGGAGACGTTTGTGTGCAGAATTGGATGATTTTAGACTCTTTTATAGTTTTGTTAATAATAATACTATTTGTTTTAGATACAAACAGGCATCCATGCCCATGAATGGTATAAGAAAACATTCAAGAACTATCCAGCGAAGAGAACTGCAGTCTTCCCTTATGTACTGTAAAGTAAACACTAAGTTACAAACATGCATTTTTTCAGCAAATTTGTGAAACAGTATTTGTTTCAGAGGCTTTAGCTACAAATCAATAATTTAAAAGTTTTCTAAATGTTGTTAAATCTATTTTCCCAGCTGTTTGTATTTTAACATGGTGTATATACATTTGTGATATGATGGTGGATGTCTATACATTTCAAAATTAAGTACATAGATACTTAATCTGGCCTTGATATAAATATAAGTAAACCTAGTTTTTTATTTTTTTATTGCTTAGTTGTGTGGACGAGCTCACAGCCCACCTGGTGTTAAGTGGTTACTGGAGCCCATAGACATCTACAACGTAAATGCGCCACACACCTTGAGATATAGCTCTAAGGTCTCAGTATAGTCACAACGGCTGCCCCACCCTTCAAACCGAAACGCATTACTGCTTTACGGCAGAAATAGGCAGGGCGGTGGTACCTACCCGTGTGGACTCACAAGAGGTCCTACCACCAGTAATTACGCAAATTATAATTTTGCGGGTTTGATTTTTATTGCACGATGCTATTCCTTCACCGTGGAAGTCAATCGTGAACATTTGTTGAGTACGTATTTCATTAGAAAAATTGGTACCCGCCAGCGAGATTCGAACACCAATGCATCGCTCGATACGAATGCACCGGACGCCTTATCCTTTAGGCCACGACGACTTCTCCTTTAGGCCACGACGACTTCATTTCCTTATGTGTCTGATAAACTTTGGTGTAATCAATAAGTTTTTTTTAATTACTTTGTATTTATTTTCCATAACACGGAAGAGTTAAGGACCATTTTCTCACTTTTTTTTTCCTCTTACCTAATCGTTGGTAGCCTAAGGGGCTATACCAACTTCGCGCGGACTCGCTCCGATATTTGGGTTTGTGTTTAATAGAAATCCGTGAATGCCACTACCCATCATAAAATAAGAGCTTTGCGTCTTAATTTGCTCTCAGACTATGCTATACTATAATCCGGGGGCCAGGGAGGCGGATACCGCCCAATCCCTGGCCCTCTAAGTGTTTCGGGTCCCCCTCACATGTTGGTCTGGGGACCGGCGAGGGGGGCCTAAGAAGACGTCGTGCAAGCTGCTCTGCACGCGTTTTACGCAAGAGCATCCGGGTGATGGAAGGCCGGCTATCCTCGACCCACGCTGGTTCTGGCCCAGCGGGGTATTCCGTAGGGTAACCCACTCTAACCGGCGCCATCTAGGCGGGCTTCGGACAGTCTGCCGACCGAGAGGGCTGGTGGTCGTGGCGCCGACGACCGCCAGTCCGGCGTCCCGAGGGGGAGGGTGATGGGAGAGATGTGCTCTGCACTAAACGCTTCACTTTCCCCCCTTTGCCTTGTCATGAGTTCTGTCTCATGCGAGGTTTGGACGTTGGTTGTTGAGCGACAGGAGGTTTTAGTCAGTTCGACTCTGACATACCCCGCCCAGTATCCCCAGAAAAGGCCGGAAGTCCGGCGATTTCCTCCTGACCAAAAAAATAATAATACTATAATCCCATAAAGTATAGCAGCCTATACTTAGCCAATAATATATAGTACAGTACCGTGTGAACGTGTCCATAACAATGTATGGTGTGCAATATTGTTGTGCTATGAGCTATATACTATATGCTATTATATTATAGCGTAGTCTGAAAGCGGCTTTAAATATAGGGTTACATATTTACTAAAGTAAACAGGCAGATGACACACGGTTACTGCAGCACCTATGTTAATGTCACGCCGCCGTAGATTGCCTAGCTCACCTTGAAATTTCGAATTCATATTAATCCTCTGTACCAGAAATCATGATTGCATTGTGATAGTAGTAAAGCATCAAAAAAAACAACAAATAACTTTTTATAACTTTATTGACCAACGTAATTAATATAAGTTTCAAACATCACACACTTGAAAAAATCTATAGCCATTAAACTCAATGACTCAGATCAAAAAAAGAGTTCTTCCATTTATTAAATTTACTTGTGAGATATATTTTAAAAATATAAATAGGGGACGACGTTGGTCTCTTGCATAGTAATTTTCTCACTTGAACAAGAAACTGAAACAAAATATTAAATTAAAAACACTTGTGTGAATATGAAATGAATATTAATAGCTTTAGCTTAAATCGTTTATTCGGTTAGCGTGGTATGGACTTGTAATGCGTAGAGAGAAGATGCATGTGACTAGGAGATGTATGGAAATGGTAGTGCAAGGTAGAGGGGGAAGTAATGCGTTTCGGTTTGAAGGGTGGGGAAGCCGTTGTAACTGTAAGTATACTTGAGACCTTAGAACTTATATCTCAAGGTGAGTGACGTATTTACGTTGTGGATGTCTATGGGCTCCAGTACCAGGTGAGCTATGGGTTCGTCCACCCATCTAAGCAATAAAAAAAGAAAAAACACGTGTGGCACTCGGGAACTGCCGCGGTAAAGCTTTTTTAGCAACTTATGCAATTATAATTAGACAATGATAATTTAATATTAAAACAATAATAAAACAAGACCACGCTATATTAAACATTAATAAAAGCAATACCTTAACTGTCCCCTTCACACTCATCAGCTAGACCGCGCGAGAGAGAGATGGGCAGACTTTTCATGCTGCGCATGCAGTGTGACGTCACGCCACGCGCTTATTCACAAACACTACACAAGCGCAACGTGTGAATGTGTTGAACGCGAGCTACATGGTAGGCGGAGTGAGGGGTGTAAGGTTTTTTTCGTTACGGAATTTCATGATTCCGCTCTCAAGCCGCGCTCAAGGCCCGCGATAAAATCTATGCAATAGCTTAAAAAGGTCGACCGAAGAAGACATGGATGGAGTGTGTGAATGACTATATGAGAGAGAGAGGAGTGAGTGTTGAGATGACAGCTGATAGAAGAGAATGGAATAGAAAAATAATTGTGCCGACCCCACCTAGTGGGATTAGGTGGAGAAAAAAAAGAAGAGCTAAAATCGTTTACAAAAATGAAATGCTTACTTATTTAAGTAATTGTTATTTAACTCTATAAACGTAATAGAATACGTAATAGAAAGATTGTAGTGTATACCCATTACAGCATATATTTGAAGTGCAACTAGAATATCTGATTGAGCCACATAGAGCAGAACTTGCCTAATTGATAGGCTACTAGGGATACGACTGCTCTCTTGAATCTTTCGAATAATATACAAAAGCTATAACTTACCTATATGGATATCCTTGCGTCTTTGCTCTGAATACTGATAAAAGCAGTGAGAAGAACACGCAGACTAATATTAGACCAACAACTGACTGGAACCTTCGACGCTTCCCTTCGGCCAGGGTTCGTGTTAGGTCATGGTTTTTAACTCCACCTGCTGCTTCAATCATTAGGATCATACCCACAACCACAGCCCCATCTTAATAATTTTGCTAAGGAATATTTATTTATTACAGATTGATTGATTGATTATTGAATTACAGATTACAGCTCTATTGTTAATGATAAATAACTTAGTGACTAGACAGACACTGTCATGTCAATATTTCAATGAATTTATATGTGTCTGTGTTGTTTCTGTTCTTCAGATCCTCACGCTAATTGTTATCTTAAAAGTCGGTATGGCATATGTGCATGGGGTGTTACTGCTGTCCTGGTCATTTCTGCCTTGGAAATTCGACCTACAATCTCGTCGATGACTACATTTATAATAAGATTTATAAGGGCTTGTGAACTATTTGAGACTAGAAAGTCTAGTTTTTCACAAGTGACAATATTGGATTGTTTCATTTTCTATGAAATTATGAAATCGTCCAAACTATTAGACTCACTTGCATTGTACTACTAAATTATGAATCATGCAGAAGGATGAAGTGCTTAAAATTGTGAGTGCACATAATCATTGAAGTAATTAAATTATCAAATGGTGCAGTGTATTCAGTTTGAATCTATCATCAACATCATTGCTACAGGAAGCAATATGGAAAGGAACATAATAAAACTATGGAATTTTGAAAGGATACTCAGTATAGCAACAATGTAACTCTCCAATACAAACTGTCCGTGTGATCCCCCGTTTATATAGACCGGGCCAGTTTTTGTTCTATGGAAAAATGGTGGGCCTCTAATTTGATTCCACATCTGCCCAGACACCATTGCAAAGCAGAAGAACACAGCACAAACTGCCCATAACTGTTTATTGTAGAGGAACTCGAGGTTGTTTCTACGGATATAAAGAAAACCAGCCAATATGATGAAGAGAGTTGAAAAAGCTACAGCCGCTGAGTAATTTGGTGATCGGAAGACTCGAATCTGGAAATAAACATATGTACATACTATAGTTTTTGTGTAAATCTACAAAATTTTGTTTATGACAATATATCGTTTCATTTTAATATCTTCATCCCATCAACCATATTTTATATAGGGAGTACTCTGAAGAAACGTTTGAGATAATCCTTTCATTCCTTTTACCATTGCACCACCAGCCACCAGTACCAATTACATCCATACTATCTAGAAATACTATGCTCAAAAATTCATCAAGTGCATTCTGAAATTTGTTTGCATGTTCCATTTAACATATCAATAGATAAAACAAAATACCAATAAACTTTCCTCTTTAGCACTATGATATATAATATGCTGTAGATAGTCATAATGTTTGCTTTATTTTTATTACATTAATTTGTAATCTTTACACCAACCTGTACATCAGTTCTGTCCTGTATCCACTTAGCGATGGCCTCAGCATGGATGCCAGCTCTCTCAAAGTCCATTGTGTCAGCAGGCTTAGGTTTGCCTTTAGCTGGGAAGTGCATTATCACAGGTGCAGTATTAAGCCGTAACTGGAACAGTAAAAGATGTTGGTAAAATACTGCTATCAATTTTGTTTTACTTATATGTTAACTAGCTGACCCGGCAACTTTGTAGTGCCTCAATCGATAAATAAAAGACCTAAATGTTTGTGTAAAAGAAACTTATAACAAGCAAAAGGAATCCGTCCGACGGGGGACACATCAAAGGGAAAAGAAAATTGTTATGTTTATTTAATTTAGAGCATTTTCATATTTATCTACCTTTTAAACCTTCTCTGGACTTCCACAAATAATTGAAGACCAAAATTAGCCAAATCGGTCCAGCCTTTCTCGAGTTTTAGCGAGACTAACAAACAGCAATTCATTTTTATGTTTAAGTTAATAAATAATTTAGTAATATAAAATATATATAATCAAATTATGTTTGTTTAAATTGGCTTAGAAAACAGGCAAGCATAAAGCCATCATTCATAGTCATGGGATTTTGCAATAGATCAGTTGGTTTGATCAGTAGGAGGTTAAGACCATGACAACTTCTCTGGTTAAATTTATTCAATTCGATAGCCAGTAGACAACAAATTCGGTCCCTTGTCATGTTTCAAATGTAAGTAATTGTTTTAAACTTACCATTTGGAAGATATCTGAGCCTTCATCAAAATCAACAATACCAAAGAATAATTTATTATTGTAAGCAGCTGAGAATCTAAATGAGTTGGCCACCAACAAATATTCATCGTTAACATGCTGACAGATAGCACACCTTCTTGCAGGTGCCATTGCAGTGAACATCACTACAAATGAATAATCCCTTGGAGGAGACTTCACATATTCCTTAAACTTATTTATGTTTAATGGAATTACAGACTTCTTTGCTGTAATATCAGTCAACTGCTGCACTTTCTCCTCAATCTGAAATTTTACACTACGTTACAGGTAAGATCCTAAATAATTGACTTTCCTCGTGTCTCAGGGGAGGCAAATGCCTTTTGTGTGTTTCTATCGGCAGTGATGGGCGTAAGCTCGTCTACTGTTAATAAAACCTCAAGAACCGGTGCGGCCTGTAGATTTCGATTTATTTACCCCTTTAGCTCGAGGTTGCGCAGCTCCTTCATAGTATGTTATAGTTATTGTTAGTAACAATAATACTTTTAAATTCATGTTTAACTTATGAATGATTCCTACTAAGTACTAGAATCAACTCAAAAAGTTATATTAAATGAATTTCTTAATGTAGGTACGTATCACCGATAAATTGACATTTGCCAACTCAAAACGAAAATAAGAAACGTCAAACACAAATAATACCACATCAACAACATAAAAATCCCTATGCGAACAAAACAGATCGGATAAAAATTGCTTTTAAAAAAAATTAAGCATTGTAATCTCCACTATTAAGCTAATATGGTATTATTAAATTTATTTATTTATATTAAACTAGCTTTTGCCCGCGACTTCGTCCGCGTGGATTAGGTACTTTGGCATAATGCTAAATTTTCCCCGCCTCTTCATTTACGTAGAAACTGAAAACATTTTTGAATAAAAGAATGTTAAAAGGAGCTATTTAAGGTACCAAAATCACGCTTTTTAACCGACCTCAAAAGAGGAAGTTATCGATTCGACCATCATTTTTTTATGTATGTTCACCGATTTCTCGAAAATGTTTGAACCGATTCTGATAATTCTTTTTTCTTTTTTTTGTTCGAAAGGGTAGACTTCCCGAATGGTCCTGTAATCATCAAGATCTGATGATGGGATCCTGGAGAAATCCAGAAAAATATATAATTGTCAAAAACGATCTTGAACTGATTGAGTGTTTCAATGTTGTAATGAATAACGTATTTATTTGATTATTGAATATTTATTTAAGGATTAATATCATGTTTAAAAGAACACCTTCACAAATAATGCTTTATTTTAGCACAAATATGGTTAGCATAAAAAACGTTATAGTGAGCCAACCTTAACCTATAGACATATGCTGTCGCAGACTTTTATTGGGACTTTTATAGGGCCACAATTCTGTCATACATTATGCTAGCAAAACTTTAACCGTTTCCGCAGCGGAAGCTCTCAAAAGGGAAAAAACCCCGATTTTGAAACATTATTTTGGGTGCTCCATTTGTATTGGTCTTAGCGTGGTGCTATATAATCTATAGCCTTCCTCAATAAATGGGCTATCTAACACTGAAAGAATTTTTCAAATCGGACCAGTAGTTCCTGAGATTAACGCGTTCAAACAAACAGACAAACTATTCAGCTCTATAATATTAGTATAGGTAGATATATTGCTCTAAAGTGTCTAAAACCATGAAGTCTATGGTGTCGCTCGACTCTCTGTTGTCGTCCTTACGCACGGAGAGCTATGGGACTTTTTTTTTTTTTTTTTCCTACCTAACCTGATAGCCCTAGGGGCTATTTCAGCGTAACCGTGGCTAGTAGGTGAGCTCACGGGGCTCAAACCTGATGACGTTGCTAACACGAACCCTAGCAAGAGTCGTGCTTCGCAGAATCTACCACCGACTATGGGACGACTGAAACCATTAAGTACATAACTAAATGCGATTACACCTTCCTAAATGCGTTTCTAATTAGGCTTCTAAATGATTTAGTCAGTCAGAAACCATCCTTGCTACTGAATTCAGTCGACTAAATTCAGCCAAGTGTATTAAGCCTTTTAGAATATGTAATGGCTCGCTCCTCTTCACAATCGGCCATGATGGGCGATTATAGAAACTCACGATAGTGTAGAGGGCATAAATGTGTGTGATCGGCCATCATCGCGTATGATCGTGCGCAATCGGCGTTGTGTCGTTAGATCAAAGGAATAATGGCCCATGATTGTGTGAGCGTCCACACCATCGCCGATTAGTCAGGATGTCGTTGTCTCGAGTGTGTATTAATTGTGTCGACTACAAAACTATGGTTGCGTGGATCCTGTTTTGTTCTGATTGATAGCCACCGCCCACCACCTTCTATTCCTCTCATCTTGTTTATCGTTATCGGTGGGCAGCGGCTTGACTCTGCTCCTAGCGTTGCTGAAGTCTATGGGCGACGGTAACCACTCACCATCAGGTGGGCCGTATGCTCGTCTGTCTACAAGGGCAATAAAAAAAAAGTTTTCACGATTCTTTTTTCGCGCACATTAATTAAATAACTATATGAGCTTAATATTGCCGCAGCCGCGATCTCCTCGATTTCCATCATCGATACCTAGACGTCATAACGTATCAGTAGACAGTCAGTAAATGAGTATGACCGTTCACGATTGTGTGGAGAGTTGCCCGATTATGGCGGCGATGATGGACGATCATTTGTTGGCCCATCATGGCCGATGGTGAAGAGGAGCCATAAGGTAGTTTTCCAATTACAGAGCATAATGCGACTCAGTGGCACACAATGGCGAATTATGTTGAAGCTTAATTGGAACGTGAATTAGTTTTCAAATGCATCAGCAGAGTGCGCTAAGTACAGTGTTGAAAAAAAAAAAACATGGAGTTAGCAACCTCATTAATTTATAAATATTCGCTACAAGTAATAGTGTTCTGTGGTACAAATAATGTGGTAACAATGATACTTGGTGAAAACTATTTACGGTTATTTTAAGTAATTTGGATTTTGATTATTTCATTAATTTTTTTTTTAATTTTGAGTATTTTTTTAAATAAGTAGTTAGAAAATTATATACTTTTTAATTGAATCATCTTATCCAGATAGTGATGACGCTGATTTATCGAGTGCTCAGAGTTTAAATCAATCATTTCATTATCAAGTGATATATTTATTGATAATGAAACAGATGAGTTATTTGAGCCATTAATAAAATATCTGATGACAGGCAGTAGTTTTGAGAGTGCTCGATTGTGCGAAGCGTTGCTGTAGTTGGAACATTCAACGTTGAGCATTATGCCGCATAATGCACTCTAGTGCTGTAATTGGAAAACCACCTAAGTATTACTTAGGTATTAGCATTACTTAGTAAGTAATGCTTATATAATTACTTAGTAAGTAATGCTTCATAAAAAGCGAATAAAAATTTATCTTTTCAATTACGTACAAATATTGAACCTAACATGGTAGCAGATATCCATGAATCACTTCCACAATGAAAGAATAAAATAAAAAACCACGAAAATGTTAATTTGCGTAGGTACTAACTGTTGATAGTCTGAGCCCGTAGAGTAGAGGGAAACAACGTAGGTACCTATTCCGCTTTGGAGGATGGGGTACTGTACGTTGTACTGTAAAACGGAGACCCTTAACTCTGGTGTCTAGGCGGGTGTCTTAGATGCAAGGGAAAAAAAAAATTAGCATTTAGGAAACAAGAGGACAGCAGCCGGCGCCGGGGTGACTCCTCCGCGGACATCGAGCCGTCACCAGACCAGCCCATCGTATTATGTTTATGTATATATTATTTTGTGGATGTAGTGTAGCCGTGCACTGCGAACAGCAGTACCTACCTCTCCCAGCTTCTCCCTGCATCAACTTCACTCCTGCCCTGAGTGGCAGGGAGCGTCTGCCCGGGCAATGGGGTTTGCCCCGAAGCCCGTTCCGTGCCCCCGTCAGGGGGTACGACGATCCCTCTTACTGGTAGGTGGCGTCATTTACGTTGTAGATCTCTATGGGCTCCGGGAATCACTGAACAGACCGGCCGTGAGCTCGTCCATCCAAATAAGCAATAAAAAAATAAAAACTTTTTAGACATTGTTTTAAAGAAAAATCTAAATTAGCCTTAGATCGCCAGACGGTGTGACTGCATGACACAATGGCGGTTCTCTTAAAACTGTGCTAGATATATTTTTAGGCACTAGGCTTGCGTCACCAGTGTTCCAGCTTACTCGAATAGAAATCGAATTCGTGACATTTTAATTATGCAGATATTCATATTCCTCAAAGCTTAACTTTAAATTTTACCTACCCACTCGTCTTAATCGGATATTTGTTTATCAAAGTAGTTTCACTTCGAGTAACATATCATTGGCCAGTGAGATTTCACTTACGTTAAAATCTCAAAACCCTAGTTAAACTTTTCTTACGAAATATAATAGGCATGTAGACTGAAGGGTTCTTTTATTCAAGAAAATATTAGTAAATCGTTTATTCCTTAAAAGCTCTAAGTTTTACTATATTGTGCTGATGTGATTAATTTAACTATGTTACTAGAGTTTTTTACTAAATACAACATGGTTTAAAATAGAAACAATTCAGATTTTTACATTAATTATTTTCAAAATATTTTATTAACACAATTCATTCAATAACACCAAAGATTATAACATTCTCTAACATGAAACCTAAATTAAAATACAATTTTTACCTACATGTATTTTTACTCACCAATTTATATCATTCAAACATTGACTATTAGGTACATATACAGAATAAATATTTTACTTGAAATATTTCATATAGGTATAAGATCAAATAGTATATTATTATTATTATAGGTTAATTTAACTACAACAGCGCAGAATAATATATTTTAATGTGGTGAAAGCAAAGCCTTCGAAAATAAAAAGGAAAATAAAACACATAATCAAGTAGAAACAAAATAATATGGAATGTACAAACCATGTTTATTTACTGATTCCTGGCAATACAATGTTTGTGACTCGCTCTTGTAATTGTCAACAGTCACTTGAGAGAGATATGATAACATTTTAATACAGGCTCACAACAGTATAATTAGGATACATACATCCACTAGAACACTGAAAGCTAGATAGCACATAATACTTTTCAAAGCCAGGTTTAACCTTAACTCCGCAAGAGACCGGTACACTGTACCCTGGGGGTTCAACGGTTTCATAAATTATATTAAAATAACTCGTTTGGACTTAATTTTCTACTTCTAACTGTACATTAGTTTCGCNATACAGGCTCACAACAGTATAATTAGGATACATACATCCACTAGAACACTGAAAGCTAGATAGCACATAATACTTTTCAAAGCCAGGTTTAACCTTAACTCCGCAAGAGACCGGTACACTGTACCCTGGGGGTTCAACGGTTTCATAAATTATATTAAAATAACTCGTTTGGACTTAATTTTCTACTTCTAACTGTACATTAGTTTCGCCTTATTGCTAAAATAATCTAAATTGATATCTTCGGATGTTGCGGAGGATGTGACGCGCAAATAAAACTGATATGTCGATAGAAATCGCAAAAGAAATGTTCTCTCCTGTCACCGAAAATAAAACATATGTGTAATAAATTAATCAAATACTGGGGGGTCATCGCACGGTAGCATTCATGTTCAATAAAACCATGATTGAGGTTTGATCGTTTTTACAAAAAGTTTTTAGTAAAAATATACAGATTCACGTCTCTAGATGCGGAGCAGCCGCAGCAACAAGGCTGCACCGGTCTGGAGATATGTGAAAACGAGCAGGGAACAAATGTAATATACAAGAGTGGAAGGGTGCTCCGAAACCCTATGCAAGGTGGACCCGCTACCGGCGACGACCGTCCCTGTGCGCGTCTTCAGACTCAGATAATGAGCATAGAGGCTCGGAGCACGGGCGACGGGAGTGGTGTGTGTTCAGGGCGTTTATTTTGTGTACAGGTAGATGGCGACGATAAGTCCGTAAAGACCCAATACTTCAGCGAAAATAAGAATAAGAATCATTCCGACGAATAACCTAGGCTGCTGAGCAGTACCACGCACGCCTGCATCTCCCACGATGCCTATGGCGAAACCGGCAGCCAGACCAGAGAATCCTACAGCCAAACCAGCACCCAAGTGGATGAACCCTCTGAAAAATGATAATTTTTCATTTATATTAACTCAATAAGACAGTTTTTGAATATTTAACCAATAATTTCACTTGTAAACATAATAAGCATAAATTATAATTCACATTTCATCAGTATCCTCATTTGAATACTTCAAAACATTTCCAACATTTGGATTTTCACTTCATTTTTTGATAACTACAATTACTTCTAGAAATATTCAGTATTTAACAATATGATTTTAATTCACATATTTGAGTCTTCTATTATCAAAGGTGGCAAAACATACATGTATAAATAGACAAATATAAAAAACAACACAGTTTCTCCTGTTTAAAAAGAGATTCTTTTTTGTTGTTAGGTAACTACTGTTAATGAGAGCTTTTTAAATTAAAAAAACTAAATGGTTTTTTTTAATATGGTTACTTTATGATCATTAGCGAACACATTTTAGTAAATGCTGTTTTAAGACTACTAACCAAAAAGGAGGTTATCAATTCAGAACATAAGTTTCAATCTGCCCAAGCAAAAATAACATTAAAACAACAAAAGAGGCCACAATTTTTATAATTAATTTTAAAATGAGAATCATGAGTGTGAAGTCAGTGGAAAAATCAAAGGATTCAAATTTAAATAAGCTATTATAATAAGAGAAATGTACCAAGAATGAATATGTATACTTAAAAAAGGAGAGAGCTAGGTGTTGTAGGAACTTTCTGAATTTCCTACTTCATTTTTAGCAAAATAACATGATTATGATCAGAAGATGACCATGCTTTTGGAGAAAATTGTTCATTTAGGCACTTATGTCACTTATCTGGTACACTTCATCATAAATCATATTGATAGATATGGTTTGCTTCTTTTAATGTTAATGTGAAAGAAAAAGAAAGTTTAAATATACTACTGTGTGTAGACAAGTACATATCCAATATTAACTTAACCCAAATAAGTATTATTATCAATTACATGTCACATGCATCCTCTACCCTACATTACATAACCATCTTTTGATATAATAACCTATATTTAACTTCTGAACCAGATACTAACTTGTAAAGGGGGTAGTTGGCTGGCTCCTGGAGGGCACCAGCAATCAGGACAGCCACGACCAGACCGTAGATGGCAATAATACCCGCCATGACAACAGGAATGATCGACTTCATGATCAGCTCAGGCCTCATCACCGACATGGCGGCAATACCAGTTCCTGACTTGGCAGTTCCATAGGCAGCTCCCAAGGCTGAAAATTTATAAAATAATTTATCAGTCTGCTGATTGAACAGTTTTTGCACAAAATGTTCTAGATGTTGACAGAGTTGAGATTTTTAGTGAAAAACATTTCCTATATAACTAAGACCAGTTTTTTATTATAAGATTTGAGAGCTCCATGTATTTTTTAATAAATTGATATCCAAATTACTAAAATGATAATACCACATATACCCTTGATAAATATTCACTAATATACTACAAACCCTAATTCTAATGCTTATTCCTCCAGACATATCAGACTATTAAGGATGATGAATCATTCCTTTAATTTCATTCACATTTGTAAAACAGTCACAAAACCAGTGAAGCACAAACTTATGTCATGTACCATTTTACATTGTATGTGACATAACATGAGCTGGACAATGAAGTGGAAATTAGTTGAATGGAATAGTTGCTTAACAATTGAGTGTACGAAGAAATAAATACTAGTATAATTTTATGACTAGGTTATTCAAATTTTTTACTAGTCCAGCAAAACTTAAGTTCTAATGGAAAATTAGCATCTCCATAATTTTCTGTCTGCTTAGATAATTTATTAATTTGCTATAGTAGTTTCCTACTGGAGATTCCTTAATTTTCTTTAATTTCACATTCAAATAAACTACCTGAATTAGTTTGATAACCATTATAAAGTATCCAACTAAAGGCTTAATTTGAATTCAAGAAAATGCTCAGTTTCTTCCTTAATGTGATCAATGAAACATTTCCATCGCCTATATTATTAATGGTACTTGTTCTAAACACTGATTGAGATATTAGCCCTGATGTTTTAAGTTAGGTAATACCATAGACACAGTTAAGTTAGGCATGACTGCCCATCTGATGATCAAGTCACATGATACAAGTAATGTCATGTGACAATAAAAACGATTATTAGTAAAAGTTAAACAATTATAAGGATACTTTATGGAATGTGTCAAATAGCATTCATGTATTTAAAACTCCCATAGGTAACGATTCTTATATTGTGTGCTTTTTAGTGACACAGGCGTGTGTATGTCAACGTAAGGCTAAGTAGTTCATCGATGCAAATTAATATTAAATTTTAGAGCCCCATTCAACCGCATTAAGCCATTGACATTATAAATCTTGGCATTTTGAACGTCTCAATCTCACGCGTTAGTTCAGTAATACCAACATTAAAACGGAAAGCTTATCTATCACATGACAATGAATCAGATACAGAAAAAACAACCCGTTAAAACTGCCTTTCACCCCAATTTCAATATCCTTAACAACTATAAGACCTCAGATACATAATGCAGATGTTAGTTAGTTATATTGGTATGAATTCTTCAAGGTGCGGCTACTATAATTAGTTACTCTTAAAATAACTAGATTCTCGTTATTCAACGTGATCATGGTGGATTTCATTGTTTACAAGACCCAAATTCCACTAAAATTACCAATTTATTCTCCCTGTTTCGGGAAATCGATATTGAATCAAGACAGCCATTTCGGCGATAATGGTCCAGACAGAATACGTACCGCTGAAGATGATAGCAGACGCCGCCCCCATAACTCCAAAGAAGGGTCCGTAGATTGGATTATTTTCAGCCATTTTGTTTGTTAAATGTGGGAGTATTTACAGGTCCCAAAAACTGTGATGACTATCTGCACACACTCACTCCACGAAACTACTTTTGCACAGACAAATATGGCCCAAGCTTTGCAGACTCAACAGAATGGGTCATATGACGACGAATGTTGAAGGCAGTGCTCGATATGACCTAAGTTCTGATTGGCGTAGCTACGTAATTTCCGATATGCGCAACCAATCCCGAGCTGAGATTTTCGCAGCGTTCTGACGTCGATCATTGATGGGGATCGCTGGCCAGCACTTTTCATCTGCGCATGAACTAATTGATTTTTCCAATACTTTTTACAAAAATAATATTTTTATAAGTACTTAAATTAAACTTTTTATAATTTGAAAAATGTATTCCTTTTTTTAAACTGCTACAAATACAATAGATTCCCAAAAAGGCTAAAGAATATTTTCAAGACATTAGAAAAACTTGTATTGACTCATTAGTAGGATTGCCATGCTTAAAATTAACTGTTGATGCAAAAGGTTTTAAAAATTGTCTTGTTTCGGTTAGACGGATTGCTTTAGACCCTGAGTCCTTTTTGCCTCACCAAGTTTTTTTATGGGTTATTTTACTATATTCCTCCTCCTCCTTGCGTCGGTTTCCTCATTACTGAAGATCGTGGTCATGGCCTTGAAACAGTTTGTTTTTTTATAATGCACCGCCATATGTTCCTATCTGGAGCTGAGTGCAGAGCATCGTGCACTGTGGTATCAAGGGCTGCACGAATCTAGTCCGTCCAACGGGTCGGGTTCCTGCCTCTTGGTCGCTTGCCCTCAACTTTTCTAGTGACCACCAATTTCTCCAAGTTGTCACTGTCTTTCGTTGCAATGTGGCCAAAGAATTTAAGAATCCCTCGCAGGCAAATGGTGGAGAGTCTAGTCCGGATCTTGAGCTGAGCTAGGATGGATACATTGGTGCGGCGTGCGGTCCAGGGAATACCCAACATCCTCCTCCAGCACCACATTTCGAAGGCATCAATCCGATTGCGGTCAGCTTTCTTTATAGTCCATGTCTTTGCTCCGAATATGAATATTGAAAACAATAGTGTGCGGACTAGGTAGCTCTTGGTGTTCATAAATATATTTTTATCCTTCCATATTTTGTCCAGCTAAGACATGGCACCTTTTGCCACCCCAATCCGTCTGCGAATCTCCGGTTCAAAAGAGACATTGTTGCTGATGTTGGAGCCCAGGTAAACAAAGTTGTCCGTTACTTCTAAATTAAGTGTACCGCTGAGCTCCAGTCTGCCTGTGCTATCAACGATTTTTACTATATTATTATGGTTTATTTTGTTAAGCTAACGCTAACGCTCGTCCGTCCATCTAAGGAATAAAAAAACACCTGGTGATATGTGGTTAATGGAGCCCATAGACATCTACAACGTAAATGCGCCACCCACCTTAAGATCTAAGTTCTAAGGTCTCAAGTATAGTTACAATGGCTGCCCCACCCTTCAAACCGAAACGCATTACTGCTTTACGGCAGAAATAGGCCGGGTGGTGGTCCCTACCCGTGCGGACTCACAAGAGGTCCTACTACCAGTAATTACTCAAATTATAATTTTGCGGGTTTGATTTTGATAACACGATGTTATTCCTTCACCGTGGAAGTCAATCGTGAGCATTTGCCATGTACGTATTTCATTAGAGAAATTGGTACCCGCCTGCAGGATTCGAAAACCGTTACAACGCTAGATACGAACGCACCGAGCGTCTTGTCCTTTAGGCCACGACAACTTCAAACTCTGACTCGGAGTGGGTGAACTCAGACTCACTCAATAGGAGTAGAGCTTGATAAGAGCTGCCAGAGTGCATCTGAGGCCTACCAGGCAGCTACTTCTCGAAAGTATCTCATAACACATACGAATTACAGGCCGTTGAGAAGAGAAGGCTTGAAGGTCAGCGGGCTGATGAATTGGGCTTAAAAAGGGTGTTTATAAAATATGAACTTAAATATGCTTTTCATTATTGACTTCGCCAAAATAATACAAATCTTAGTGCTGTCTTATATCATCTCAATTAATATTTTTAAATCAGTTCATTTCACGTTTGATACGACGTTCAAGGCTTTGGTTCTTATCTTATAAAATTCATCTATATCGGCAAAATTTCCTTTGCCCATCTAATAGACCAATCAATAGCAGCAATGACAGCATGTGGACAGCATCGACAGCTATCTATCAGTGACAGGAAATGTAAAAACAAATAGATTCACATTGTGGTTCTAAGTTTATTTATGAATCGAACACAATTTCACGATGAATATGGTGTGATTCTTTATGCAGTTGTTTCAGATATTAAGAGCAAATTCAATAGAATTATTACATAGTTACGAAGCACTTTAGTCACCATGAAGTTTAATTATAAGGTAAAAATCTCATTAATATAACAATGTGTTTTATTTTAAAAGAAATACTAATTATTGAATGAATACATTCATTATAAAGGACCATTATATCCAGTTAGAATAGTCCACTGTATATATGGCACGAAAGTGCGGTACTAAACTAGAATACGTATTAATGAGTTTAAATATTTTCCTAACTTTACAACATAACCTTATTTATTGTTGAGTTATTAGTAGCCATGAGTACTGTATCATAATTTACACTCAGACTACACTCAGACTAGAAACCCCAACACTCACACTCAAACTAGAAACCCCAACCAACTCGGGTAGTACGTATCAATATACCTGACATTAATAACATTAGTATTATCAAAGCTTGGGCCCTTTTGAGTTTATGAGAGTAGAATGTTTATTATAATAATTATTATTACAGTTTCAAAACTTACTCGGAACAGTTTACCGTAAAGGTGATGTGCTCTTCAGTAAAGATGGAAATTGCGTTATCAGCCCAGTTGGTAACAGAATAACCATATATAATTTGAAACAGTAAGTATTCTTTATTGTATACAAAATTGAATACAAACAAAAAATACTGAAACTGAATGTAAATTAAGTTTTGAGATCATTTAACTGGATTATTTTATTTAATGATCTGTCCAGTCTCCTAGACTATGAGCAGATTTGTTGCAGTATAATGTACTGAAAGTTAGCACAAATAGAAAGCTCCAAAAATATCAGTCAAGACAATATATTTATTATTGTCACTTCATTAAGGCTAATTAATTATTATCAAAGTAAAATTGGCTATATGCATAGAGTGGTGCATAAGATGAGAATATACAAGACTAATCTGGATATCATGCACTGCTTTAGATATGTTTTTGGAGATATCAATATTTTGACAATTAAGACTAGTTTGCTACCAAAATTATAATATAAAGATATTGCTCTATGATTGAGTATTATTGATAGTTCTTTGTTAATTATTGAAGTATTATTTACAAATATTTTAGCATTACATTATGCTGGCATTAGAGGCTTAGACTATCCACACTCTCCATACCTTTAACATGAATTATTGATGATAGGAAAAATACATTTTTATCATTTCTGCTGTGAAGCATTCATGTCTTATTGAAAACTCGTTGGGACAGCAAGACATCACAGAGCAGTTTTTTTAAATAACAACTTTAACATAATAAATAACTAGTGCTACCAGTGGAATGAAGTTGTCGGGTCACTGATTGGATTTGATTGAGCCAACACTACATTTAGTGCAAATATTTATCCCAAGTCGATTCAATGATTGTTTTCTTCATGATAATAATTTATTAGTATTAGTATTACTTCAGAGCCATATCATGCAGTTGATTATGATTGGCAGAAATGTGTCGTTTTACTGTCCACACAATAATAAATAATGAAGTTGTATAGTAATTCTGTTTACAATTTTATTACAGGAATAAAAGTAACACTCTATCGTTTGAAAGTCACTACAATTATACAGCTGTTGATATTGCACCAAATGGAATGACATTGTTGGCTGTTACGGAAAGTAAGTACATTAAGTTTGTTTACTTATATAATGAAACAGTTTTTGGCATATACCTTTTTTCATGTATCTTTTTCTACATTATTTATTTAATGAAAAAAGTATACCGGGAGTCACATGTTTTAGGCCACGACATATTGAAACTGGAAATTCCTATAGGTTTTTTCATTTTGTTTCATAATAAGTATCTTAGTTTTATGATTAGCCACCATTGCCATACTAAAAAGCTGATGTCCCAAGCACCACCATTTTCCTTTGGGAAGAATTCGTTAGATTCTCACAAAAAAAAACTCTTACGTGATATCTTGTTCCTGGCTTTGTCCATTACATAGTTACTTAATTTAACTTTGTACTACAAAACATTGTTGATTCGAAAAATATTTTATTTGTATCTAGAGGGTGAAGCACAAATTATAAGTCTTACAACTTCTGTGGTGTTACACAAGTATAAGTTCAAGCAGCAAGTGAATGCGGTTAAGTTTAGTCCTGATGGAAAATACTTTGCCGTGTGCTGCGATAATACAGGTACGTTGATTTGTTTCAATATGTTGAGTCAATTCGAGCTTCAATGTAACTTTGTCTTTACCTAATTATCAGTTTTTGCACATGATTTTTGGTCTTGTTCTTTATCTGATTGCTTTAGAACTTTATATGGTTAATTTTGTTATTTAAGGAATGTTTTCGTGAAATCACCATTAAGGTGCCATAGATGAGATCTACATATGGTTTTAACAGATCTGTGTTTTCCAAACGGCGTCAACCGCGGTAACATCGCGGGACTCGGCTATCAATTATAAAATTTAATGTTTCGAAGCGAAGTAAAAGCGGGTCGCTAATTTATTATAAAAGTAGTTTCCTAACTAATATCATCATATTTTTTGTTTCCTTTTTAATAAACTTCTTTACTTTACCAATGCTTCTTAGTCGAACTTAGACAAATAAAAAACACTCAAATCATAATAACAAAACTATTTTTAGAGACTGAAATAGTCTGATAGAAAAAACTATTTGTAAATATATATGTATAGTTTACAATACTGTAATAAATACTAAATTTTGATTATCTCAAGTCAAGCCAAGCTATTGTGAAGAGGTTAAGAAAAAGAGAAGTGTCACACAGAAATACACAGAAAGTTTAACAAATCTAAATAATTATAAAAAAAAAAACTATGTGTAAACTCAATTTCGCGGCCAGTATTTTCCATGTTTTGAATACTTCAAAGTTTTATTGTGATCCAAAGAAATTTAATAACGAACCTGAATGTTTAGAAGAATTACCCATATACAAGCCCACTGAGTTTCTCGCCGGATCTTCTCAGTGGGTCGCGTTTCCGATCCGGTGGTGGATTCTGCGAAGCACTGCTTTTGCTAGGGTCAGTGTTAGCATCACTCCGGTTTAAGCCCCGTGGGCTCACCTACTAGCTAAGGTTACGCTGAAATAGCCTCTTAATGGTATCNATAACGAACCTGAATGTTTAGAAGAATTACCCATATACAAGCCCACTGAGTTTCTCGCCGGATCTTCTCAGTGGGTCGCGTTTCCGATCCGGTGGTGGATTCTGCGAAGCACTGCTTTTGCTAGGGTCAGTGTTAGCATCACTCCGGTTTAAGCCCCGTGGGCTCACCTACTAGCTAAGGTTACGCTGAAATAGCCTCTTAATGGTATCAGCTTAGGTAAAAAAAGAATTACATTAAATTTCAGTATTCGTGATGACAGCACCGGTACATTTCACCGGCGAATACCGGCCCTTCATCATGAAACGTGTCTTCAAGAAAGCCCTAGACGAAGTGACGTGTCTGGACTGGTCGTCCTGCTCGAGACTCCTGGCGGTCGGATCGAAAGACACGACAACGAAGATTCACACGGTCGAATATTTAGAGAACATCACTATGTATTCGCTCAGCGGACACACAGATAAAATTATCGGTGTCTTCTTCGAGAGGAAAAGCTTAGATCTGATAACGGTCAGTAGGAACGGTCAGCTGTGCTTGTGGGAGGCCAGTATAGATGCAGATGAGCTTGCAGTGAAGCAGGATGACACGTCGCGCAAGAAACGAGTGAGACTGCAGAACGAGGGTAATCTAGAGGAAGAATTTGACGCAAAGGATGATATTGAGAAAGAAAAGGAATATGTAAGTTTTCATGTTAACTAGTGTTCGTTCAGTCGATGATCGAAATTCGACCGAAATCATTGATAACCCAAGATTTAGATTCGCTATTTATTATATTTTGTTTATTGTCTTTGATAGTTTTTCTTGTAATGAGGAAAAAAGTAGACGTAGAAATCTCATTCCAAACCATTGTCTGATAGTAAATAAAAATGTAGTAATTTTTTTGATGGGCGAAACGGGTTCACGGCCCTCCCGGTGTTAAGTGGCTACCGGAGCTCATAGACATCAATAACGTAAATCCGCCACCCACCTTGAGACATGATTTCTAAGGTTTCAGTACAGCGGCTGCATTCAATATTCAGAAGATGATACCAGCAATAAAAGAAGAACTACATATTTTATTTTTGTCTTTTTGCGTGTGCGATATTGACATGTGCTGTAATAACGCAGTCAAGCTATTTAAATAAAATTAAGACTAAGTTGTTTCAAGTTTATTCAATGTTTGTCAATCTCGGGGTCAGTGTGCTTAGCGCGAGTTCTTTAACGTTCTCGATAGCGTTAAAGTTAACTCAAATTTGTATTGAATTCGAACAGCGCCCCTAGCGGCAAACGTAAGCAAACGTTCCACCTTCATACAAATTTGAGTTAACTTTTGCGCTATCGAAAACGTTAAAAAGCTCGCCTTAAGCCCACAGTTCTAGGTACTAGAAACAAAATAAATGATCTGTTTCATATCTTAATCAGGACAGCGACAGAGACGCTGAACAAGAACAGAACAATTCGAAGGCTAACTCTGAAGAGAACGATAAGAGATTGATGTACAAAAAGCTGGGGAGGCATTACATCGGCGATGCGATACGCAACGCCGATCGGAAGGTCAAGCTCACGGCCGTTCAGTATCACAAGGAAAACAAGCTGCTAGTGACCGGTGAGTGGAGACACGATTCCCTTGATAGTTTTGAAATGTGGTGCTGGAGGAAAATGCTCCGGATGCCTTGGACAGCAAAGAGAACTAACGTGCTTATCTTAGAACAACTGAAGCATTTTATTGGAACGAAGTTCCTTATGGGACGATGCGGAGGGGTACCCTAACCGGGAAAAAAAGTCTGTAACGTAAGATTTTTATTAGTAATGACTTAACTTTGTAATAACGTACAAATTAGTAATGCACACAGTGTACGACTTAACTTTGTAATAACGTACAAAAAATAACATATTTTTTTATCATTCATTGGCCACGATCTCAGAGCGTTCGTTTGCTCAATACACTAACATTTATGCAAACAACCGTGAATGAAGTGTACCACAATAAGTTAGCACGTTACCGAATACCGTGGGTTGTTGCAAAACCTCCAGTTTTATTTTCTTTATACCTCGAATAGAACTTAAATTAATATTTTTACAATAAGGAACTTCGTTCCTATCCGGTGTCCCACGACACCACACATCTATTTTCCTACCTAAGCTGATAGCCATGAGAGGCTATGTCACAGTAACTTAACAACTAGGTGAGCTCTCGGTGTTCAAACCTGACGACGTTGCTAACACTAGTCATAGCAAGAGCAGTGCTTCGCTGAATCTACCACCGGATCGGAAACGCAACCCACTGAGAAGATCTGGCAAGAACCTTAGTGGGCTGTGTCTATGGGTTAGTTTACTCGCCGAGCCCTTGGTCGCAAGCGACGGGTTCGACGAGAACGGTGACTGGACAACTGAAGATTAAAACAAGACTGTCCACACTCTGCCTTCGCTACTTCAAGTACTTCGGTCATATTCGTGACTCATTTTAGGGTTGTCTTGCGTTACTAATGCTCTTGGGAGGCAGCCACTTGGCTGTGACCCTCGCGTTGCTGATGCCCATGAGCGACGGTAACCACTCACCATCAGGCGGGCCATATGCTCGTCTACAAGGGCAATAAATAAAAAAATATCATATTTATATTCAGTTATTTATATTATTCATAGAGAGAAGATGAATGTGACTAGGGGATTTATGGAAATGGTAGTGCAAGGTAGAGGGGGAAAAGGTCGACCGAAGAAGACATATCTAGAAAAACGCCTAAAGTAATTAATGGACGCCCCCTAACAATCGGTTTGAAGGGTGGGGCTGTCGTTGTAACCATACTGAGATCTTAGAACTTATATCTCAAGGTGGGTGGCGCGTTTGCGTTGTAGATGTCTATGGGCTCCAGTAACCACTCAACACCAGGTGGGCCGTGAGGTCGTCCATCCATCTAGGTAATAAATAAATAAAAACACTACGTGATTTCGCTTTAGGTTTCTCGAGCGGTCTGTTCTTCTTGCACGAGATGCCGGACGTGAATCTGATCCACACGCTCAGCATATCGGAGCACCGCATCAGCAGCATCAGCGTGTCACCGCCCGGGGACTGGATCGCTTTCGCCTGTCCCAACATCGGTCAGCTGCTGGTCTGGGAATGGCAAAGTAAGTTCCTCATTTTGATCCTAGTCGAGGCGAGGCACGCTGCGGACCGATCTGTGACTTGATGTGGACTAGTATTAGCTACAGACAGACAAGTGTAGGTAAGTTATATGTGAATATGTTGTTGTTTGAAGCCAACATCAATGAATGTTCGGTCATTTATTTGATACAAACTAGTGGTCCCGGAGTAGTCGAAATTCGACTATAATTAATTTAAATTATAAGTTTGAACATTATTATAGTTCTAGTTAGAGATTTCGCCAAAACCACACCATAGACAAATAATATTAAATATTAACAATATTAACTTAATCTTATTTTGACCACAGACTAAGCAATAACAAAAGTTTGACAATAAACAAAGAGTATATTATTATGTATGCTGTCAAATACATGGTAGTGTGTGTAATGTTTTGTTTATTGATTTAATGTATTATTATTGCATAATAAGTGTGGGAAATTTTATACTCCTCCGTCCGCGCAATTTTCGTAAAAAGGGGTACAAAGTTTTCGCTTCACGTATGATGTAATATTGTCTTCGATTTATTCGCGAATCGTAGACATAATTTTTTATTTAACTCACTATGAAGACACAATAAATGGGAATAATCGCAAAATTTACTGCTTATTTTGTTATGCGTAATTGGTAAAAAATTATTCTCATTTTTGTACTGGCTTCTAGTTTCATAACACGCGGTTTTGCACAACACGGGTCTTTGTAGAAACATATTCACCGTGTTATAGAAGAATTATCTGTAATTTTAATTTGACTGACTCGCTGGTGCAGTATTAGCGCCCCTAACTGCCACCCCGAGGGTCGTGGGTTCGATTCCCGCTATCGAGCAAACATTCTGCCGTCTCGTGTAGTGGTAAGTGACATGGTCACTACACAAGGGGGTCGCGGGTTCGAATCCCGCCAAGGGAAGATATTTTTATGGTAAATATAAATGTCTTTTCCAGGGTTATGGATGTATATTAAATATATGTATGTGTATAATAAAAATCTTACATTTATTTCCGTTATCTGGTATATATATATATAGATTTTATTGCTTAGATGGGTGGACGAGCTCACAGCCCACCTGCTGCTAAGTGATTACTGGAGCCCATAGACATCTACAACGTAAAATGCGCCACCTACCTTGAGATATAAGTTCTAAGGTCTCAAGTATAGTTACAACGGCTGCCCCACCCTTCAAACCGAATCGCATTACTGCTTCACGACAGAAATAGGCAGGGTGGTGGTACTTACCTGCGCGGACTCACAAGAGGTCCTACCACCAGTAATTACTCAAATTATAATTTTGCGGGTTTGATTTTGATAACACGATGTTATTCCTTCACCGTGGAAGTCAATTGTGAATATTTGTTGAGCACGTATTTCATTAGAAAAATTGGTACCCGCCTGGGATTCGAACACCGGTGCATTGCTCAACACGAATGCACCGGACGCCGACGCCACGACGACTGCAAACGTATGTATATGTAAACGTACATATGTATAGAGGTTCCCGTAGTACAGAGAGTTCTGGTTTGGGACCAGATGTCTTTACGTGACTTGGCTCGTCGATGACTCCACAGGCGAGCAATACGTGATGAAGCAGCAGGGCCACTCGTTGGACATGACGTGCCTGGCGTACTCGCCGGACGGGCTGCACGTCGTGACCGGGGGCTTCGACGGTAAAGTGAAGGTCTGGAACACGACGAACGGCTTCTGCTTCGTGACCTTCCACGAGCACAAGGCGACCGTGAGCGGCGTCACGTGCAGCGCCAACAAGAAGTTCTTCGTGTCGTCGTCGCTAGATGGCACTGTACGATGCTACGACTTGACCAGGTTGGTTTTACGTTATGGCGGGTAGATGCAAGGAGCGCCATCTTGTATAGGGGAGGACTTTTTGGCGGGAACGCGAGGAGTGAAGTTGTGTGATTTGTTTTATTTTGGCGATTTAGTGTTTTGTCAGGTTAAAATTTGTAATAACAGTGGTTTACTGTTTTAACTGTTTAATATTTGTGAAAGTGCACAAATGTGGGAAAATGAAACAAAGCCGCTGAATGTAATTTCTCGGGATCTTCCAAAAAGTTCACTGAAAAAATCTCAGTAAATGACCACCATTTTACTGAGATTATATTTCATCCCATGTCATCTCATCTCATTTCATTTAATTTCATCCCAGTTGAGTAATGACTCAAAATTATCATTTTTCATAAAAATAAGAATATAAATTAAAATAAGACATGACTTAAAGGTCTTAGTTACCAGGTCAAAAAAATCCTGAAAAAAAAATGGTAAAGGGGATAAGTTGAAAAAGTGTACACATATAAACAGCAATCTATTGTTGGAAGATTCACTCAGAAATAGCGCTAGTGTAGGAAGTAGAAATTTGTATGAATATAGCAACTTTAAACAGAGTGAATTGTGCTGGGTTGAACAATTTAATATTTTTGTGATTTGTGTAGTTAAAAAGTATGCAGTACTTAAAATCTCAATTACATATCGACGCTTGAAAGGAAAACGTGAATAAGCGACAATGCGTGAACTTTACAGTAGACTAATTTAAAGTTGAAATACCTGAAAAAAAATTCTATTTTAACGAATCTAGCTGTAGGATTAAATGATTTTAATAGACTTAGAAATATATTTTTTTTGCGCATCGAATATGGTTATTGCCTATCATTTATGTACAAAGCAGTTATTGTCGCTTAGTCACGTTTGCTTTTCAAGCGTCGATATTTAGTTCTATTACTGTTTACGTATTAAGTGTTTCTTTCTTTTTTAATTTTGTATCCTACTTTAATAGTTTATGGCGCTGTTTTTAAAATCTCTCCATTTGCTACTGTGGCGCCACCTTAATTGGCTCTCTTTTCTTCCTTACTTCTCCATATTTTTACGCACGCGGTTATTTGACGGGTTGTTACCACGACTTAGGTGAAAGTGAAGTTAGTCATATTTGGTGTTACCACTGAAACTCGACGGTTATGTTTGAACGTTTTTTTACCAGATGAATTTTGTTCCATTTTTTTTTTTTTGTGTGTTCTGAGAATCTTTGAAATGAGGATGCTACTGCATCATCTTCTCTTTTCCAAATTCTTATGGCATCTTGCGATGTGCGTTTTACAAGGAATATTTAAACATCATAGGGATAGTAAATGCTACAATCTTACATAATTCTATTTAGAAACGTACGTACGATACAATATTGCAATCTCATATTTTAAGGTGTCGTGTGACATTTATAGGTTCCGATATCGCGACGATATATCGTTTTAATGTCGGCAACTGAAAATTTTACCTAATAAATAAAGTAGTAAAATACAGCGTTTCTTCCATTAGGTACACTGTGGTGCGAGTCACGCCGCGAACAAACTTTAATGGAGACATCGACCTCATGAATCGTGATGATGATGATCGTTGTTTCAGATACCGCAACTTCCGTACGCTGACGTCACCCAGCCTGGTGCAGTTCAGCTGTGTGGCGCTGGACTCCAGCGGAGAGTTCTGTGCGGCCGGCGGTCAGGACGTCTTCGAAATATTCGTTTGGTCGATCAAGTTCGGGAAGTTACTGGAGGTAATGTACTTGGCATTAGCTCCAGCGACTAATAACATGATGTGTTAACGTATTGTTTGTTCTCAAACACGGCTTCGTATTGAATGACGTCTTTAGTAAGTATTTCGTGCAGTCGACTTGCTTTAATTTTTTTTTTCCTATCTATGCTGAAAGCTCTGAGAGGCTATTTCAGCTCAAACCGGAGAGTTGCTAACACTGACCCTAGCAAGAGCAGTACTTCGCAGAATCTACCACCGGATCGGAAACGCGACCCACTGAAGATCCGGCGAGAAACTCAGTGGGCTGTGTCTATGAGTTGATTCGCTCATCGAGCCCTTCGTCGCAAGCGACGGGTTCGACGAGGACGGTGACCGCTTGCTTTAATACACGCATCGATATATTACCACTAGATCCCGCGTCTGTAAATCTCTGCTTTATTTTTAATGATTAAGGTTGGATTCGGAACAAAAGTTCAATCAAGATTCAATGTAAATTTCAATCTCTTTCTGTCATTCATGGCGTAAGGTTGTAAGTGAATGTTAAAACAATCTAAACTGCACTTTATTGCTTGGGAAAAAAGCATAGCTTAGGTTAAAATTATTATACCTTTGCATCGTTTTTCTCCGTTTGATGGTATAGTCAGATTAGTTAGTCGATGCCATATTTGTGTTTTTTTTTTGTGAGGCGTTATGTAGTGGTAATATATCGATGAATACACGTCATAAGTGGTTTTCTTGCTCATAAGTAATAAGCGCGTCACAAATGAAGTTTCGTTTATAATAAATAATAGTTTAGAAAAAACTAACATAATACGCTTTTATAGAAAATCCCACTAAAGAATAGAAAATAAATTTTAATAAGTTAGAATTAAAAATAGTGTAAGAAAATATGATTTTATTGTAAAAAAGCGTGGGGTGCTTTTAATGATATTATCAAAATAACCCTTCTACTCATATCTGTTCATAAAATATTTATATAACTACATATATATATATATATAACTACTGTTACCATGTACCCCACGCTTTTTTTTTTATAATAAAATCATTTTTTCTTACACTATTTTTAAATTCGAAATTTATTAAAATTTATTTTCTATTTTTTAGTTGGATTTTATATAAAAGCGTATTTTGTTAGTTTTTTTAAACTATTATTTATTTTTCATTTTTTAGTTTAATCTTCAATTTTTTAATTTTTTTTAAATATTGAATTGTCATCGGTCCTTAATAAGCACCTATACCAAATTTCGAATGAATCCGACGTTTTTTTAAGGGGGGTCAAAATCATGTTCAATGATTCCGTTACAAACGTACATACATACGTCTGAAGCTAATAAAAGCGTATCAAAATTAGGTTCTAGGAGGTCACGAGGCGCCGGTGTCGAGTCTCGCGTTCAGCCCGACGCTGGCCAGCACGCGCCTGGGCTCCGCCAGCTGGGACGGGACGGTCCGTCTGTGGGACTGCATCGACCGGGAGGTCCAGTGCGAGCCGATCCGACTCAACTCTGACGCGCTGCAAGTCGCCTTCAGACCCGACGGGGAAGAGGTGGGTCTGGCAGCTGACTTATACATTCACGAAACACGCGGGATGAGATGTCCTACGTTTTTTCCCGCAGTGCAAATACTATTTTTACTCCTACCAGGCCGAAAGTTCGACATTGTAAAAAACTTAGCACCTGTGGAGTACCGAGTCGGGGTCCAGGGTCGAAGCCCTGGCGGGGGGCCATAAAAGAAACAATTTAATTGTTTTTTAATTTTTAAATAAAATACTACTAATTGAATAAGAACTGTCTGATGAACTCATCTTTGTTTAATACTTCACTATAAAATTTTATTGCCTTTGTTTATTTCACTTTTACACTAAACACAATATTGCAAATTACCCGAGCACAACAATGGCGCAGAATTTTAGGTGCGTGAGAGCAGACGTAGACAATAACGCGGATGCGCACTTGTACCTACCCAGAGAGCAAACGTTACACTTTCTTTCCTGTACAGCGGGACGAAAACCGAACTTTTGGCGTCGGTAGGAAAAAAAAAAAGTAGCATGTTGCACTCCTTATGTTATATATAAAATTCTCGTGTCACAATGTTAATTACCATACTCCTCTGAAACGGTTTGACCGATTTTTATGAAATTTTATCTATTTTTCATACCCCTAAGTGATAAGGGTTGTCCACCCCTAAAATTTATTTTTTATTTTTTGGACATTTTTGTTTTTGTTATAATGAGGCATAATGTGGTTGAATGTGGTTTTGTTATTTTTATATTCCCTCATCTTTCACAGCGCTACATGCTTCTTTCCGCTCATTTACAACATCCTTACACACTTACAATAAGTTTTTTTTTTTCTACATTAGAAATTCCCTAGAAATCTTATATATGGCAAAACAACGTTTGCCGGGTAAGCTAGTATTCTATATAAGTGTGGGAAATTTCATTCGCATCCGTCCACGCAATTTTCGTAAAAAACGGTACAAAGTTTTTGCTTTACGTATTAATATATAGATTATTAAATAGGGTTATCAGTCGAATGTAACGTGTATTAATTTTGTGCAGATCGCGGTGTCGACCCTGGACGGCAATATAACGTTCTTCGAGCCGAGCACGTGCGAGCAGACGGGTAGCGTGGAGGGCAGGTCCGACCTNTACACTAAACACAATATTGCAAATTACCCGAGCACAACAATGGCGCAGAATTTTAGGTGCGTGAGAGCAGACGTAGACAATAACGCGGATGCGCACTTGTACCTACCCAGAGAGCAAACGTTACACTTTCTTTCCTGTACAGCGGGACGAAAACCGAACTTTTGGCGTCGGTAGGAAAAAAAAAAGTAGCATGTTGCACTCCTTATGTTATATATAAAATTCTCGTGTCACAATGTTAATTACCATACTCCTCTGAAACGGTTTGACCGATTTTTATGAAATTTTATCTATTTTTCATACCCCTAAGTGATAAGGGTTGTCCACCCCTAACATTTATTTTTTATTTTTTGGACATTTTTTTTTTGTTATAATGAGGCATTATGTGGTTGAATGAGGTTTTGTTATTTTTATATTCCCTCATCTTTCACAGCGCTACATGCTTCTTTCCGCTCATTTACAACATCCTTACACACTTACAATAAGATTTTTTTTTTTCTACATTAGAAATTCCCTAGAAATCTTATATATGTGCAAAACAACGTTTGCCGGGTAAGCTAGTATTCTATATAAGTGTGGGAAATTTCATTCGCATCCGTCCACGCAATTTTCGTAAAAAACGGTACAAAGTTTTTGCTTTATGTATTAATATCGTACCTTCGGTAAGACAAGAGCCGAAGTGCTAAAATTTCTGAAAATGAGTTAAATATGCCAAAGTGCCTTAAAAACTAATTTCTACCTGTAGGAACAAAGACATTCACTAGATTCAGTTTATTTTCGCCAGATGGCAAAAGTGTCTTTGTACCATTCGTTCGTTTTTTGGATGATATTGGCGCGACAAAATCTTATTGGTCATTTGCGGCATCGCCCGCGCGAGTAGTGGTTGTGTACTGGACCATAAGGGTCATTAATGTAAATATGCCCTTTTTTGTTTTATATTTTGGAAAGACATGGTCACATTTTGTGTACATAATATGCCTAATTTGAGAGCGCATATTTGAAAGAAAAAATAAATAAGTCTTCACATTTACTTGGAATTCCACAAAGGAATATGTGGCATTTTATAGATTTAATGTAAACCTTTTAGAAGTGAATTTTATGTTATTTTTTTTATTGTAGTTATATTTTATCATTGATAAAAAATTTCCTAAGAATAAGAAGAATAAAGATGTAGAAAATAAGTAGTATTTTCATTTAATAAGTCATTTCAATATAATGTGTAACTTTGATCGCAACTGCACATTTATTTAAATGTTGGTGGGATAATGGCATAATTGTAGGCATACATTAATATTTCATTAAATAATTAGTATAAATAAAAAAATAACTCAGTCTTTAAAATTTTATATTTATATTTACATGTATAAGGTATATTTTTGCTATAAATAAAATACTATTTTACATTAATATGGGCAGAAAAACACACTTTAAATCTATAAAAACCTTAAAACGTCTCTCCTGAACATTTTTAAAATTAGCACTTCGGCCCTTGTTTTACCGAAGGTGCGATATGTAGATTATTAAATAGGGTTATCAGTCGAATGTAACGCGTATTAATTTTGTGCAGATCGCGGTGTCGACCCTGGACGGCAATATAACGTTCTTCGAGCCGAGCACGTGCGAGCAGACGGGTAGCGTGGAGGGCAGGTCCGACCTGGGCTCCGGGAGAGCAGACACCGACCTGGTCACGCCGCAGACACTCTTGAAAACCAAGTGAGTCTCTGAGGATATGTTGAAATCGTCGTGGCCTAACGGATAAGACGTCCGATGCATTCGTATCGAGCGATGCACCGGTGTTCGAATCCGCAGGCGGGTACCAATTTTTTTAATGAAATACGTACTTAAAAAGTGTTCACGATTGACTTCCACGGTGAAGGAATAACATCGTGTAATAAAAATCAAACCCGCAAAATTATAATTTGCGTAATTACTGGTGGTAGGGCCTCTTATGAGTCCGCGCGGATAGGTATCACCGTCCTGCCTATTTCTGCCGTGAAGCAGTAATGCGTTTCGGTTTGAAGGGTGGACAGGCGCTGTAACTATACTGGGAACATAGAACTTATATCTCAAGGTGGGTGGCGCATTTACGTTGTGGATGTCTACGGGCTCCAGTAACCACTTAACACCAGGTGGGCTCGTCCACCCATCTAAGCATTAAAAAAATATCCTTAAATGATTGCAAAAACAAATTAATATTTCATTGCACCTACCATTATTAACGCTGTCCTATCTTTGAAGAAGAGAGAGAGTAGAGAAGCCTTGGGTTTTAAATCCGCCAATATAAATATTACATTATAAAGACCTAAATAAATTAATTAATCTGGTACTTTTTTAGACTTTAACATTTCCCAAATTACAATTTATACTTGTTGCGATAAGAATATTTAATATTACAATCGAAGTCTTTGTTAATCTAACCATTAAATTACTAAATGATATTATTGAGTGAAATTATTAATGAAAAAAAAATTGTAACAAATAGTCTAATAGTGATGTGTTTGGTTTTTAAGTTACTAACAACATAGATTATTTATACTAACAGAATGTTATAGTTTTTTATTATATTTTTTTACTGAATAAAGATACATAATAATAATAATACTACTATTATTAAAAAGTCGTTTCATTGATACATATTTAGAAATCTCATAAAACTTGTCTCTACTTTCAGAGCGTTCACAACAATATGCTATTCTGCTGACGGTACCTGCATCCTGGGAGGCGGCAACTCGAAGAACGTTTGTCTTTATAGCGTGAAGGATTCCGTACTCATCAAGAAGTTTGTCGTCACGGAAAACAGATCTCTGGATGCTGTTAATGTGAGTTGCCTATTACTTTGCTACTGACGCTACTTTTTATAGGGTGAAAGAAAACTAAATTACACATCGATTATAGATCGAGGAGTGAACCGGTCATTGTTCTTAGTAGTTCGTAGTAAATTGACCCACAGATATAGCCCACTGAGTTTCTCGCCGGATCTTCTCAGTAGGTCGCGTTTCCGATCCGGTGGTAGATTCTGCGACGCACGGCTCTTGCTAGGGCCAGTGTTAGCAGCATCGTAAGGTTTGAGCCCCGTGAGCTCACCTACTAGTTAAGGTTACGCTTATATGGTCTCTATAGACCATCAGCATTGGTAGGAAAAAAACAAGAGGAGTGAAAGGTTATTTGGTTTACGCGACATTTTTGCAACTTTACAGGAAAGTCATATAAAGTTGAAAAATCTGGAAAAAGTATCATAACAAAAAAAAAACAGGTGTTTGTACGGAGTAAACTTCGTTGAAATTCAATTGAAAACATTGGCTTTTTGATACTAAAACCAAATAAAAGCAACCTTTAATTACAAAGATAAATGTCGCGTATTGAGCGAAATGTCGCTTAAACGAAATAGCCTTCTAGTCTTCGATAATCTTATCTTATATAATATAAAAATGAATTGCTGTTCGTTAGTCTCGCTAAAACTCGAGAACGGCTGGACCGGTTTGGCTAATTTTGGTCTTGAATTATTTGTGGAAGTCCAGAGAAGGTATAAATGGTAGATAAATATGATAATGCTCGGAATTAAATAAAAATAACAATTTTGTTTTTACTTTGATGTGTCGGACGGATTCCTTTTGTTTGTTTTAAGTTTATTTTATACAAAAGCTTAGGTCTTTTATTTATCGATTGAGGCACTACGAAGTCTGCCGGGTCAACTAAGTAGTAATATATAAATTAATATCAGTATTTATTTTCAAAAATACTTTATATTAAATTAGATATATCATTCTTTATCTATTTTGTGAACCCGCAATATTAAACGTATATGAGAACCGCCACGTCACACGGAGTGTGCGGGCAATGACCCCGCGCGTCAGCTGACTTCTGCTAGCGTTCCATTGCGTGCCGCTCAAAAGACTTAAAATCACAGCAAAGTACTCATAAATCAATATTACCTGGAAGCGTCATAAACCAGAGATGAATCAATATTTTACGTTTTCGTTATTTAATATGAATAGTCTTTTGTCGCATCTAGGACTTTGTGAATCGCCGCAACCTCACGGAGTTCGGGAACATGGCGCTACTGGAAGAGAGGGAGGATCTGGAAGGAGGAAACGTCAACATCCGACTGCCGGGCGTCAAGACCGGGGACATGGCCGACAGGAACGTTAAACCTGAGGTACAGTAGATTGACGGGTTCCGGACCTTTTCCAATTCCAACACAAACCTTCAGCGGTTTTTCTTAAGGTAATACCAATAAAATTGAGATTAGAATGGTTCCGGAGGCTTAAATTTTCATATAAGATGCAATTATTAGACGTAGTTCATTGAAAAATATACACAAAAACTTAAAAAAACTAGCTTGACCTGATTCATTTTGGCTTTTGGGGTAAATCGGGTTACGTACGGGGACAATGTACAGTCAGTTCTGATCTGTATGTAGCTGATGCGCATGTACCATGAGTTCTGTCCCGGTGGGGGCGTGACGGGAAAATGCGGATACAGAATGTTCAAATGCACAAAACAGAGAGTATTGAAGTATTCTCCATTGAATCGTCGGTTCCATGGGATCTTTTTTTTATTGCTTAGATCCGTGGACTAGCTCACAGCCCAACTGGTGTTAAGTGGTTACCGGAGCCCATAGACATCTACAACGTAAATGCGCCACCCACCTTGAGATATGAGTTCCAAGGTCTCAGTATAGTTACAACGGCTGTCCCACCCTTCCAACCGAAATGCATTACTGCTTCAAGGCTGAAATGGCAGGGTGGTGGTATCTACCCGTGCGGACTCACAAGACGTCCTACCACCGATCCGTAAACATTCCCAATAATAAGAAGGTATATCGTTTAGGTTAAGTAGTTAGTTGGTGGGAGTAAAGTGAGGGTAGTTGGGTTTCATTTGATCCGGTTCCAGGTCCGCGTGTACTGCGTCCGGTTCTCACCGACCGGGGAGAGCTTCGCGGTGGCCGCCACGGAGGGCCTGATGCTGTACAGCCAGAACGCCGGCGTCGACGGTACTTTCAGGTATCCCCATAAAAAAATCTAACAAGATCTTATTTGTCAATGCACTTTTGTTTCTCTTCTTTTTTAACACGTTTTGAATCTTTGAATGTAATTCTCGTCAAATGTAAGACGTTAGATTAACTTGGAAATCTAACTGTTACTATACTTGAGACCTTAGAACTTATATCTCAAGGTGGGTGGCGCATTTAAGTTATTGATGTCTATGGGCTCCAGTAACCACTCAACACCAGGCGGGCTGTGAGCTCGTCCACCCATCAAAAGCAATAAAAAAAAGCCTTTCGACTCTCGATATGATTAAAGTGCGTGGTTGCTGCCGGTCGGAGCAGCCCTCGGTTGTCCATGGTCATCACAAGCCCGTTGTTCCCAGGCCGTATCGACTGGAGGCGACGTCGACGCCGGCCGCGGTGAGGCAGTCTCTCCGAGACGGCGCCTGGGGCTCCGCCCTCACCGGCGCCCTACAGCTGGCGGAGCAAGCGCTCATACAGGAGTGCCTTGAATCCGTGCCCACTAAAGACAGTGAGTGCGAGAAATTTACAGCCGAGAAATGTTTTCATTAGCTCAAACAAACGGAAATAATGACGAGAATAATATGAAGATTGGATTCGGAGTTAAGGGAAATGTTGGTGTTTACAATATCATGCTAGGCAGAGAGCGCACGTGTGACGTGTCTGATGACGTCACGACAAATGATTTAAAATTTTAAAAACTTTTGTACAAATAATATTTTTAGCTTCGAATTACCCAAATCGAGTTTAATGTCAAATCTTTATCTATTACATACAAAATTGATGCCTGTAAAATAGTTTTTAGGGACGCAATGTAATTTAATTTTATTACTCATTTATTTACGTATATTTGCTATGTTTCATGCATGTAATGGTACTCGAATCTGATAACATAAAATGAACGATATATTTAGATTGTAGCTTATTTTAATTTAGCTTTTAATTTAGAACGATCCCACTTTTCGTACTCACCAGTACTAACTTCATACCAATATAGCGTACTGTAGTCTTCGATTGCTGTTCGCTTCGAATCATAACGTGTCTTGTATACGTTGCCCGCCCCTCGTCCCCCCGGCCCCCCGCGCCGCCCTCCGCCCCGCCCCGCGCCCGGACGGTCGTGCGATAGTTTCCTAGTTTGCCTACTAGATGGCGTTAGTTGTTTGTTGCCGTGAGAACGATACCAACACGCAATTGCTTGTCCGCAGTATCCCTAACGGTATCGAGTCTAGACGAAGACTACGGCGACCGGCTGCTGAGCACGATAGCGCGCCTCCTCGAGGACAGCAGGCACGTGGAGCAGCTGCTGCACTGGACCACGGCGCTGGTGTCGACGGGGAGGCACAAGTTCCCGCCGAGCGCGCTGCTCGCCGTAGAGAAAGTGCTGACCGTCAAATACTCGCAGTTGAGTAAAATGTAAGTACCGTAGATTGGGCCAAATAGGGACTAGAGGTTTTAATGGTAGGCAGCGGCTTGGCTCTGCCCCTAGCATTGCTGACGTCCATTAGCGACGGTGATCACTTACCACCAGGTGGGCCGTATGCTCGTCTGCCTACATAAGCAATAAAAAAAAAAAAAAAAAAGTAATAGGGATAAATGTGGGTTGTCACAATGCTTTTTTTAGATTTAAATTTGTTGAATAGAAAAGGACTTTTATTTAGCGCTTAAGAATATTAAATAGCTTAATTTAGTCATCATAGTTTTGTAACCGATTAAAGATATTGAAAAGTTAATTACCTAAAGGTAAGTACCTACGTAACAACTAAACAGTGTCAGCCCTATCGAAAAACTCTATTGTCCCCGTACCTGACCCGATTCACCCCAAAAGCCAAAGTGTATCAGGTCAAGCTAGTTTTTGTGTATATTTTTCAATGAACTATGTCTAATAATGCATTGTATATGGAAATTTAAACCTCAGGAACAATTTTAATAGCAATTTTATTGATATTACTATAAAACCGCTGAATTTTTTTGTTGGAATTGGAAATCGTCCCGATTCCCTCCAATCTACTGTTTATCCCGATATATCCCGCACCGTCTCCACTATCAGTATCACCGTCGTGTGTATACGTACTGGACTATAGGAGATTCGACCTCAATATTGATCTTGGCGTTCGCGTAGGGCTGTCCATGGGCCCTTGCGAGCTGGACCCGAGATTCGCTTATGAGGGAAGATCCTCGCGTTGAGGGAGCATTGCTCGTCGTACATCATGGGTTCACGCGCACACCAGTAGATATGCTCCCTTGTAGTGTGCTAGTAGACAGTAGTATGTTATACGCCGAAACTTTTTTTACTATTGTGAGTCCGCGCGGGTAGGTACCACCACCCTGCCTATTTCTGCCGTGAAGCAGTAATGCGATTCGGTTTAAAGGGTAGGGCAGCCGTTGTAACTATACTTGAGACCTTAGAACTTATATCTCAAGATGGGTGGCGTATTTACGTTGTAGATTGTAGATGTAGATGTAGAACAAATTATCAACGATTAAAGTCAAGGTTCCTTTTTTATAATACTAGTGGTCTTGCAGTAGTCGAAATCCGACCATAATTATTTGAAATTATAAGTTTGAATATTGTTATGCTTCTGTTGTCAAATACTACTATTATACTTCTGATCACAGATTTCGTCAAGGCTACACTATATAGACAAATAATGTTAAAGACAAACAATATTAATCTATTCTCAATTTGACCACAGACTTGAACAATAAACGAAAAAGTATATATGTGTGTGATGTAATACATGGTAGTGTGTCATGTTTTTTGTGTTGATTTAATATATTTCTACGTATAATTTAAAAAAAAATTTAGCATTAAACACTCCTTCTCTATAAGTGTAGGAAATTTCATACAGCTCCGTCCGCGCAATTTTCGTAAAAAGGGATACAAAGTTTTTCCTTGACGTATTAATATATAGATACCTAGAAACAAGATGTCAGATCTTCTTTTTTTTTTACAATATTCCACCGTTTCGGAAATATCAGCCGTCGCTTAGAAAATTAATCGAATTCGTGAACGTTCCATTTTCGTATTTTTAAAATTATGATAGATTTGACGTGATCTCGCTAATCAGGGTTGTCACGTGTGCCATCAGTACGCGTGTCACGTGACGTACACAGTGTATCTACTAACAGAATCACAAGTCGGTTACACGATCAAGGTCGTTGTTATTGCATATACATTTTGTGTGGAAAGAAAGAATCGGATATGTGCATCGAGTGAAGAATATAAATAGAATATGAAAAAAAAAAAGAGTTTCGTGTGCTTAATGCCAGCGGTAATTTTTACTATGTCGTTCGAATTCCCATTGTATATTTCATAGTGTATCATGACGGACGTGTCCTTCTTGAACAGGGGTTCAAAAGGAGTTTTTGAGGAGTTGCTTTGCTTTGAATACCGATGTGTTGATTCCAACTGCATACAAATTTGAGTTGACTTTTACGCTATCGAGAACGTTAAAAAACTCGCACTAAGCACATTGAACTACTCTTTTACCGATGATACTGTGTATTGTAAGGTCAAGTGTTTTTCACATTAGTTTGCTCACGGTTACATTGTTAGTGTAATCGATGGGCTGTTTCATTTTGTTTTGGTCTATTGATTTCCTGGCTTTTTGAAGTTATACTTCTTTAGGCGCGTTATGAAAAATTGATGAGAGTGAAATTTTACGATGCGCGCACACCGTGACACAAAATTAACAGAAATGAAGTTGCCCACTAAATCGCTCATTACAATACGACCGACATAACTTGGCGAGTCTGAATATAGCCGCAGGTGAACTTTCCAAACCGTACCGAGAATTACCGAATTTATACGATGTCAAGAAAAGGGATGTCCAATATGCGTGTTTGAGGATGTTGTTTAATCGATTTTTTTTCAAATTGATTAAAATTTAAATAAAAAAACTTCAGAGGTGTCAAGGGACACCCGGATGGAACGAAGTTCCTTTCGATTAATTAGTGAAGGAATTGTAATTTTTTTTTTAAGTTATAATAATAAATTACGGCATTATGAAGAAGAAAAAAACAATACTATGAACTAAATTACTATTGTTGAAACGCTATCTCGAGAAACTGTACTCATTACGCGCACCAATCGGATACGAGCAATGTCACGCGATAAGCGCCTACACGTTGATTGGTCAGAATGACGGATCTAAAAAGTGTCGTGACAACTTTTCGTAAGATTTTTTTCCGTCTAGCCCCCTTTCACAACGCGCGATAAGGAACTTCGTTCCAAAAAAAAGAAATAAATTTAATAAAAATAAAGTATAACTTCTTACGCGCGTACATAAGTACATGCACCCTTTTATACAATGTCATTGCCTTATAAATAAATAAATAAAACGCATTTTCAATGTTTTTCTTTGCATATACATTAGATACTACGTTATGTGTTTCTAAAATAAAATTTAAAAATTTAAAATAAAAATTAGAAGCGTTTTATAACGACCGACACGATACGCGCTGCACACGAGACGTCATGTTGTTTGTACTTTTTTTTTTGCATAGGTAACGTTTTTGTCAACGATTTTTTCCTACCTATTTATTTTGCTAGTAGCATAAGAGGCTATTCCAGCCACGCTCGGGTGGGTAGGTGAGCTCACGGGCTCAACCTGAGAGAATTTGCTAACACTAGCCCTAGCGAGAGCAGTGCTTCACAGAATCTACCACCGGATGGGAATCGCGACCCACTGAGAAGATCCGGCGAGAAACTCAGTGTCTATGGGTTAGTTCGTCGATTACGACGGAGATTTCGACGAGGACGGTGACCGGTGCTTGAGGGTCTTAAAGGCACCGAGAGTAAATCAGGGTGGTCGGACAAGACATGTTTAGTTGCTGTGTCGCGGTCGGATTAGTAATTAGCGGCGGCCACGATAAGAGGGTTTTTGTGTCGCGCCGCTTTGTCGAAGTAGATGTCAACGACGAAAACGTCGTGTGCCGTATACAGTGTTTTAATTGTTTCGTACAGCGCGTCATTAGCGCTATACATATATCGTCAAGGCAAAAACCGTTACGACATAACGCCACCGATGACGCGATAAAAAGTCGTTTGCACAAAACTTGTGATATGCCGTATCGTGGTATCGTGCGTGTAAATGGTTCATACAAATAAATGACTGATGGCCTTCGGAGACGTTATCACATTTCGTCACGCTCCGGCCGTGATGTCCCCTGTCAGAGGTTCTCAAAGTGTTTTTTTTATTAATCTTCTTACTTTTTTTTTAACTAAAGATTATTTTCAGTTTTTTTCTTGATGTTGTCTAGACGGGTAAACGATCTCACGGCCGATCTAGTGATAAGAGGTTACCGGAGCCTATAGATATCAAAAAGTCAATACCACCATCCAACTTAATGTCTCAATTCGTATGGTAATTACGCAAATATTATACGATGTTATTCCTTCATCTTAGAGGTCATTCGTGGACATTTCTTCAGTAAGATTTTTATTAGATTATAAGGTACCCGCCTGCGGGATTCGAACACCGGCACAAGCGCATCGCTCGATACGAATGCACCGGGGGTCTTATCTTTTAAGCCACGACGATTTCGTTAAGTTTGGTAATAGTATCATTTCCGGACCCCACATCTACAACGTAAATGCCGCCATCCACCTTTAGATATGAGTTCTAAGGTCTCCGTATAGTTACAACGGCTGCCCCACCCATCAAACCGAAATGCATTACTGCGCGGCAGAAATAGGCAGGGTGGTGGTACCTACGCGTGCCTACTCCACAAAACAAAAAAACCTTCCACAAAAACCGATTTCGTAAAGATAATCGAATGTTTTCAGTGAGACATTTAATTATTTATGTGAACAAACTTGTTTCAGATGTGATTTCAACAAATATACGATAAGGTGCATAAAGACCGTCGGAGATGTGGTCTTAAAACGAGAAGAAGTTGAGCCCATGGACACTGACGGACCAACGTCCTCTGATTCTGAATAAAATATGTTATTGTCATGATTATTGTTTGTCTTACTTTTCCCATATAGAATAAAAGGTGATAAAAGTTTCATTACTGTTAGGCATTGCTGAATCGGTAACCCTTTCCAAGCCTCGTTATTTATCTTAATTTTTTTTTATTGCTTAGATGGGTGGATGAGCTCACAGCCCACCTGGTGTTAAGTGGTTACTGGAGCCCATAACATCTACAACGTAAATGCGCCACCCACCTTGAAATATAAGTTGTAAGGATAGTTACAACGGCTACCCCAACCTTCAAACCGAAACGTATTACTGCTTCACAGCGGAAATAGGCGGGGTGGTGGTACCTACCCGTGCGGACTCACAAGGCGTCTTACCACCAGTAATTAAATTTGTTTTGTTTTATTTTTGGTACCTAATTTATGTTTGGGATAAATGTTTATTATTTTATAAATAAATAAAACATTAATAAGAAGGCTTGACTGATGACTTGACTGACGCTACCTATCGTAGTTGATAGTAGTCTATTGTAGAAGCCTTTCTTGAAATGCTAATAATAAACAGTTTTATCTTAGTCTTTATGATAATTCAATGCCCAATTCTGCCAACCCCCAGTCCGGGATGTTCATCCTAGTTTCTACATTGTTTGCGAACTTTAAGTACGAACAATCAAGGCTCTTAATTTATTTTTTAGATTGAATACTTTTGTTTGGTTGAAAAAAAAGTGACCTAATTTGTTATGCATAATGAATACATTTATGGAAGTTTCCACAAAGGTAACCTTTTTTGTGCCCTTTCTTAGATTGATTATCTTCTTCTTCTTCTTTTTCTCCACCTTATCCCACTAGGTTGGGTCGGCACAGCTAATTTTTTTCTCTTCCATTCTCTTCTATCAGCCGTCATCTCAACACTCACGCCTCTCTCTCTCATATCGTCATTCACACACTCCATCCATGTCTTCTTCCGTCCGCTCCTTAATTTATTGCTTACCGGGGCCACTTTCACATTTCCTCTGATATACTCATTGATATGATATACTCTTAGATACACTCTTAGATTGATTATCTATTATTATTTTTCTAAATTTATGAAGTACCATGTAAGAAGCAGAGGTCTACCACACTATGCCGCAGGACCGTGTTGAGGCGTGTTACCAATTTACCTAGACCTCTTCTTCGATTCAGTCAAAATCAGCTGATTGATTGATCTCTCGTCTATTTTTACCGAGTTCTTATCACGCGCAATTTAATCTCATTGGTGATTTATTGAGAGAGACCTGTCTTCAGTGTTACGTCAATTACTTTATGTTATCCAGAGAATATGATGTTATCTAGTGATAACATCAAGTAGAAGTGAACTTGCAGGTTTGAATTGAAGATAAATGATTGGATGGCTTAATGGCTTAATAGGGTAGCCCAGTGAATTATTACTGGAGGTCAAAGGCTTAAGAAGCGGCCTAATTTGCGCACCTTTTTTTTCCTACCTAAGCTGAGAGCCTTGAAAGGCTATATCAGGGTAACCTTAACTAGTAGGTGAGGTCACGGGGCTCAAACCTAACGATTTGCGCGCCTATGACAACACTGCCCCTCCAACGTGGGGCAGTTTATTTATTGCTTAGATGTGTGGATGAGCTCACAGCCCACCTGGTGTTAAGTGGTTATTGGAGCCCATAGACATCTACAACGTAAACGCCGCCACCCACCTTGAGATATAAGTTTTAAGGTCTCAGTATAGTTACTACGGCTGCCCCACCCTTCAAACCGAAACGCATTACTGCTTCACGGTAGAAATAGGCAGGGTGGTGGTACTTACCCGTGCGGACTCATAGGAGATCAAGAGGACCAGGACTCGGATCAGGGTGTTCCCGGTGACTGATTATCGCACTACCTACCGTCTTAATCTCACTAAGAGAATCCGGTGCATGAGTGCGTGAGTCCACAATACTTTCCAGATATTCATTTTCACTGGCACTATTTGGCACTAGATCGAATAAAATGCAAAATCAAATTACAAGCCTCTCCAAATAGTGCTTGAAAATGAAATATTCAGTTTGCATTGAAACTGAGTAGGTGCTTATGTAATAAAGTATCAAGTGTCATGTAATAAAAAAAGAATAGTACATATTTCGCTGTCCCCTTTGAAAACTAGATCGATTTGAATATCATTTAGAAAAACAATCATTGATAGTCTATCACTACGCTTATTTGATTTAATTTGGATAACTTGAAACTCAACTTTGCGGCTGAAATATAGAGCATGATGGCTCAGAATACATGTTAGCATCTATAATTCTGAATGCTTAATAGTCTAATAAGAAGATTTTCATTCACCGTAAACTCAAGATCGTGGCCACCAATCTGGGACAGTGGTTCCGGAAGTGGCGCATCGACAACAACCCCACGAAAAGCACAGCCGTGTTCTTCAAAAGGGGTCGCCCTCCCAACACCACTGCAAATATACTCTCCTGTATTAGCCGCGGCAACTTCAATCCCTTAATAAGATACTGAGTTAGCTCGTACCTTGGGTCTTGAAGGTGAAGTACCTTGGCGTCACCTTCGACAAAGCGATGACATTTCGCGTTCCTACTGAGTCCTCTCTACCTCATGATCTGCAAGCGATATACATTGTCTTTTCGTAACAAGGTGACATTCTACAAAACTTGCATACGTTTCGTCATGACTTACGCAAGTGTGATCGCTCCCGTGGCTAGTACACACAAAAACTCTCTCCAGGCTATCCAATACGGTTTCTACAGGCTAGCCGTTCAAGCACCGTGGTATGTGAGGAATATAGATATTGACGATGACCTCGATATAGAACCTATAGGTAAGTATTTGAATGTTAGGACGCTTCTTTGAAAAAGCGGCACGTCGCCGTAAGCCTCTTTACGTAGCCGCCTCTACATATCTGACCCAGGCTGCTGGGCAACGCTAAGACGCCGTCGCCCAAAACACTGGTGGTAGGACCTCTTGTGAGTCCGCACGGGTAGGTACCACCGCCCTGCCTATATCTGTCGTGAAGCAGTAATGCGTTTCGGTTTGAAGGGTGGGGCAGCCGTTGTAACTATACTGAGACCTAAGAACTTATAACTCAAGGTGGGTGGCGCATTTACGTTGTAGTTGTCCATGGGCTCCAGTAACCGCTTAACACCAGGTGGGCTGTGAGCTCGTCCACCCATCTAAGTAATAAATAAAAAAACGTAGGACCCTCCGGTTCTGATCTCGATGCGTTTAGGAACTCCAAGCATCGGTCACAATTTTCGTCGAATACGACGTGAAGTCGTATGAAGTTACAAGGAGAAGTTTTTCAGCTCGTCATGGCTTAAACAACTTTAAATAACTACGTGGCTTTTGTACAAAAGAATCTAATTTATTTCAAAATGTTAGAAATGTGAGAAGTCAATATAAACAGACCCCCTAAGTACCAAATCAGAGATTGACTGTTTATCAGAAAAATGTATATTGAATGGCTATTAAAATTTATAACCGTTTACCTGATGTTATCAAGGATAAAAAGAATCCACAATTCAAAAACAATCTAAAGAATTTTGTTTAAGGAAATGCTATTATGATATTGGTGTATTTTTAAATGATAATGTGTAATTAGATCTATTATTTTCATGAATTATGAATGTAAATAAATTTTTTATAACTATAATTTATGAAGGTTATATTATAAATTGACATGTTAGTGATCTTTATTTAATCTTATATAGTAAGTGCGAACATGCTGGAATGTTAAAATTTTATAGTACCTACCTTTATTTATGTACCGTGTCTCTGGCAAATAAATCATTTGAATTGAATTAAATTGAATTTAAAAGTTACGAAGCCCGGTGCTTTCGTTTGATACGATGAAAGGTGTTGGAACCCCATAGGTAGATACCAATTTTTCTAATGAAATACATACAAACAAAACACTTCAAGTACATATAGCAATATTCAATGCAGAGATACATTTGGTACATTTTGAAGATAGTGGAGATATATGTATAGATTAGATAGGTCGCATGCTCATCAACCAGTTCACATACCAAGATTAACTTATTTATTAACATAATTTGCACACATATCTAGGAACCATAACCAAAAATGTTGATAGCAAGGCAACTTCTTAACCAGGGTAGCAAGGATAAGAAAAATTATTATTGATTCAGTTTTGGTTTGCTGTTATGGTTTTTTTAGCTTTTACATATCACGTCTGGAATTCGTTGCCATCAGCGGTCTTCCCCAACAACTGCGACATTGGGTTATTCAAGAAAAGAGCATATTCTTATCTGAAGGGTAGGCAACGCACTGGCGTAAACGCTGGTGACCGTGGGCGGCGGTGAATCACTTACCATCAGGTGACCCGTCTTGCTCGTTTGCCTCTTAGATGTTATAAAAAAAAAAAAAACGTGTATGTATATAATTTTCTTAATAAATACTTGCTGTTCGCTCACCGATCGACCATTATTACCGACACCCTAAGATTTCTATTTATTTTATCTGTCACAATGATATCCATTTGTTATAAAAAAAAATCTTAAAGGTTTTTTTTGGCCCGAGGGAGAACTTCCTATACGAGGCAAGAGGCGCGCGGCATATATGAGACTCCGTAACTGAAGATGTTAAAGACCCCCCACTGAATTGCGACATTCTGGGTTGCGGCAGCAAGCGTATGGTGTTAAGTGGTTACTGGAGCCCATAGACATCTACAACGTAAATGCGCCACCCACCTTGAGATATAAGTTCTAAGGTCTCAAGTATAGTTACAACGGCTGCCCCACCCTTCAAACAGAAACGCATTACTGCTTCACGGCAGAAATAGGCAGGGTGGTGGTACCCACCCGCGCCGACTCACAAGAGGTCCTACCACCAGTGGCTTTCTGAAAAACCAAAAATTCAATAAAAAAAAGTAAAAAACCCACTGCATAGCTCCCTAGCACACTCGCCCAATGCTCGATCCCTACCTGAGGCGGAACCTGGGCAAGGTAGCGGGCTACCTCAGACAAAACTATAACTAGACTCCCAGCCCAGGCGTTAGGCTGCCCCAAATAGTGTCGTTGGTATTCCGGGGGACCCCACTGGACCAAAACCTGCTCGCTAAGTCGGAATCGCGATACACCGCTAACTGGCTGTCCTAGAATTAAGTGGAACTGTAGGTCCGTATAGTTGCAGTTGCGCAGAACTGCTGTCACGCGGCGCGCTGGAGTACTGGTAGCGAAATGCGTGACTTTGTCCCACACGTCGCCCCATAACCTTCACGAGGATCTTGTAAAGATTGGACAATAAGTTGGTTCCCAATACTTTTATCGTCAGCACTCGTCCGTTAATAGCTAATAAACAAAAAAAAATTTGACAAACAGAAAAGATAAAGGTACTGAAATGTTTCGTCTTTGTGAATATACGAAATAATAAAATCAAAATAATAAACGTCATAGCTAGCAATCTACATAATATGTTATTTCAATACCACATGTTCTTACTACATATTTCAAATGATTATGTACCTAGTAAAATTTTATTATTCTAAACCTGTAATACTGTGTACCAATATTGTTGGTATTTTTGACTATAAAAACGATAGCACAGATTACATGGAAGTCTAATCAAATCTTTGAACCGAGATAAGAATGTCTAACGTTGATAAAAATGACAAGACATCAAAGATAGTCTGTTATTGGCCTTCAACAACGCGATCCATGATTTTAACAGGTGAATAATATGAGTTTTCTTTTCAGTGGTAAAGACAAACAGATGCCCAACGACTCACTTGCTATGGACTGGTGATTAGACGACATAGATATAATAATAATAATGATAATGTCTTTATTTCCCTAAAATTTTACATTTTAAGCTAAAAATAATCAAGTGGATTAAAAAAATAAAAAACAATATAATATATGAAAACAAAATATATCAGTAAAATCTACACTTCTACTACAAAATGTCTCTAGTCTCGGTGTGTCTTTCGACAAAGGCCTCCTCCAACTCTTTCCACTGCACTCTTTCCACTGAATCAATCCAAAACCTTATCTTTTACTAATCTTATTTTTAATTTAGTTAATCTTAGTATTATTTATTTATGTATTATACGTAACTATATACACGAGTTTAAAGATGTTACAGAGACCAAAACTGTATTTAGCAAGTTCCTTAAAATAAAGAGAAAATATTTACTAAGTCATGTGATAAGACGAGATGAAAATGAGGTTGGTAAGAAAATGTTAACTATGAATGTGGAAGGGTATAGAGGAAGAGGTAGACCTAAGAAGAAATGGATGGATTGCGTGAAAGACGATATGGGTAAGAGGGGCGTGAGCGAAGAAATGGTATATGATAGAAGAGTATGGAAGGAGAAAACATGTTGCGCCGACCCCAGGTAACTGGGAGAAGGGCAGGATAATGATGATGATGATTTACTAAAACTAAATATAAATACTCTTTGTCCCGAAAATGCCCTAAATGTGTATAATACCTAAGTACATGTATTTTTGGAACGAAGTTCCGGGACGATGCGGAGGGGTACCCTCACCGGGAAAAACGTCCCTAACGTAAGATTTTTATTGGTAATGCACACAGTGTACGACTTAGGTTTGTATTAACGTACAAATTAGTAATGCACACAGTGTACGACTTTACTTATTTTGTAATAACGTACAAAATATAACATATTTTTTTATCATTCATTGACCACGATCTCAGAGTGTTCGTTTACGCAATATACAAACTCTTATGCAAACAACCGTGAATGAAGTGTACCACAATAAGTTCGCACGTTACCAAATGACCGTGGGTTGTTGCGAAACCTCCAGTTTTATTTTCTTTATACCTCGAATAGAACATAAAATTAATATTTTTATAATAAGGAACTTCGTTCCTATCCTATGTCCCACGACACCACACATCTTTTTTCTTTTAGAAAGTATGTTTTTTTGTGCTGGTCATAATCAGTAAGCCGTTTCAAATATTTATTTCCTTTATCATATCCTGAATGAATAAAACAACGTATAATCTACGAACGCACTTTACTTGTATTAACACTGTTTCCTAATATAAAACTGACTGAGTTGCTGTTGCGAGGCCACGGTAAGAGAGCTGCTGATCTCGCCACGAGCGCAGCTGACACCAGTACCGCCACCACAGCCACCGCCAGCACGAGCCAACGAGCAGCATCCACGTACCACAGCATCGTGTGCGAGTCCATTATTTCTTTGCGTAACCACTCTGGTATTTCCGCTCCCTGTAAATAAAATAGTAAATTGTACGGGCACCTAACGCTTCGGAGCTCACAAATGCTCACGTTTGGCAGCTTATTAACCATTAATTATTATTTTTATCCTATAGCGTTACCCTAGCGTGTAGGCTCTCGGGGTTCAAACCGGAGGTGTTACTAACACTGGCCTTAGCAAAAGCAGTGCTTCGCAGAATCTATCACCGGATCGGAAACGCGATCCACTGAGAAGATCCGACGAGAAACTCAGTGGACTGTGTCTATGGGTTAATTTACTCGTCGACTATTAATAGTGACACGGCTAGCGTATTTAAACTGTTGCCTCTCAGTGAAAACGAATAAAAACAAATGAGATCCAATTCGGCAGGATACTGAATAGTTATTCCGGATCAGTTGTAGTAAATTTCGGATTCGGTTGAATGATGTTACAACACAGCTATTCCAATACGAAAGGGCCTTCGAATTCAAATCTTGAGCTCATTTCGGTAATCGCTTAACATCGGGTCATTGGTAAATCATTTGCTCGACGGACCTGCGTCAATGAATAAATCCTGCGGAGTTATCTATAGAGATGTCAGCCCTTTTAAGTTCATAGTAACTTAGAAGACGGAGTAAAATCATTCGCTTCGTTGGTCTATCCGTAATAGTAATTAATATGTCTGATTAATATACGACTGCGTCAGTGTTTTGTTAAGGATCCTTTTTCTTCTCGTCTATGTGTATCTTCGCTATGCATTACACAGGAGAAAGTACTAATGAACGTAACGTTTGAATTATACTTAAACTAGCTCCGTTTGCGAACTGCACGTTGGGCTAGGAAGCCACTGTTAAAGTTTAAAGTGGTCATGATCTAAAGAACTATATTCCCGGTGTGCCTCCTCGTATTAAGCGATGTCAATGTTCGTTTCTAATAATATCTTCTTATTTTTCTCAACCTAATCCCACTAGGTGGGGTCGGCACAGCTAATTTTTCACTTCCATTTTCCCCTATTAGCCGTCATCTCAACACTCATTCCTCTCTCTCTCATATCGTCATTCACACACTCCATCCATGTCTTCTTCGGTCGACCTCTTCCTCCTCTACCTTGCACTACCATTTCCGTAATACATCTTTTAGTCACATGCATTTTCTCTCTACGCATCACATATCCATACCACGCTAACCGTCCGCTCTTTAATTTGTAGATTATCGGGGCTACTACTAATATAATAGTATAATAATATAATAATAATAACTAATAATGTACGTTTCTAATAATATACGTCACAATAACTATAATCTTCACGAATAACTTCCACGATGAAGGAATAACATCTTGAAATGAAAATTGAATCCATAAAAATTGTAATTTTCGATTTTCTATGGAATTGGATTAGACTCCTCAAGTCTCAACGTGGGTTGTGTCATTCATTTTGTCTACTGCCTTGTGCAACCGCTTGATATCAGATGGCGAGTGCGCTCGTTCATCTGTCTATGTAAGGTGGACCTTCAAAGGTCCAAGGAAAGCTTACATTATTGTTTATTCTAACTTTTTGTTCATGTTTAGAAAATAGTCGTTTATTCTCTAATGATATAGTCATAGTAGCAGTACTACGCTTAAATGGATGGAAGAGCACACAACGCAGATACTGTTAAGTGGTTACCTGAGCCCATAGACATCCACAGCTTAAATGCTGCCTACCTTCTTGATACATGAATTTTATGTCTGATATACCCCAACCTTTATATCGAACCGCTTCTCAGCAGAAACAGGCAGGATTATGGTATTTTCTTGGTGCGGGCTCACAAGACGCCCTAACACCAGCAAGATCATTCATTCATCCACAATGCTTTGAGGCTTAAAAATACTGGTATTATTTTTGTGTCAAACTGAATCCCTTTGCCTCGCAAAACAGTTCCGTACTTTAGGAAGATGGTCATACCTCTTCAATCCAGAGCAAAGGAAACAGCCCTGAGGGTACTTCTTTGAGCTGTGGCACCGATGGTACATTGCGAAGTTCTATGTTGAACTGAAGACGTTTCACACCTTTTATTACTACTCCAGTTATCTGTTGATAATAAAAGATACTTTAAGCACACGGACAATTCTGTAATAACTTTTTTTTTTCGGGCCGAGCCGAACCTCCTCGCACGGGGTATGTGGGTCTTGATCTGCAGATGTTGGGAGCTGACAGCGGGTCCAAGGATCTATTAGGGCCCTACCGCACTAAACGACACTACTTCTAGACACGAACTACTTTGAAAAAAGGTAATTGGTATATAGTTTTTTTTTTTTGTTTATTGCCTATGTAGGCAGACGAGCACGGCCACTTGCCCACTTGATGGTGAGTGGTTACCGTCGCCCATGGACTTCAGCAATGCCAGGGGTAGAGCCAAGCCGCTGCCTACCGCTTAATACTCTCCACAAGCCTCGTTTCAAGAAGGACATGTCATAGCGCTCGGGAAACACCGTGGAGGGGGGAAATTGTTCTCGGGGATAGAGAAAATTCTAGAAGTTTCAAAGAACCTACTGGATCTAGGTGAACATAAGTGTTATGCTTCTCTTTGTCAGGCTTAATTCCGTCACCGAAAAAGTCAGCTAGTTCGTCAGAGCCCAAGTAGAAATGCGGTAAGGAAGCAATGGCAGGAGCTCCTTGGCAAGGCGCTAAGTTCAGCACGCCCATGAGGAGACATCCGTCGTGCTTCACGCTCCAGTTTCTGAAAAACATTCATGACATACGCAGTTTTATATCGAGGGTAGAAAGGCAAACGTGACTAAACGACAATAACTGCTTTATACATAAATGATAGGCAATAACCATATTCGATGCGCAAAAAAAATGCTTTTCTAGGTCTATTAAAATCATTTCAATCATACAGCTAGATTTGTTAAAATAGATTTTTTTTCAGGTATTTCAACTTTAAATTAGTCTACTGTAAAGTTCACGCATTGTCGCTTAGTCACGTTTGCCTTTCAAGCGTCGATATGCAGACTTGACGCAATTGACACTGATACCAGTGTGCTTAGTGAGAGCTTTTTAACGTTATTGATAGCGTAAAAGTTAACGTAAAAGTTATTACTGGTGGTAGGACCTCTTGTGAGTCCGCGCGGGTAGGTACCACCACACTGCCTATTTCTACCGTGAAGCAGTAATGCGTTTCGGTTTGAAGGGTGGGACAGCCGTTGTAACTATACTGAGACATTAAAACTTATATCTCAAGGTGGGTGGCGCATAAACGTGGTAGATGTCTATGGGCTCCAGTAACCACTTAACACCAGGTGGGCTGTGAGCTCGTCCACCCATATAAGTAAAAAAAAAACTCAAATTTGTATGGAGTTGGAACGATTGCCTCTAGGGGCGCTGTTCCTACACCATACAAACTTGAGTTAACTTTTACGTTAAAAAAACTCGCACTAAGCACACAGAAGGCCCAAGGGCTCGAATTATAGTTGATCGAATACATAGTAACTTCATCGGGAAATACGTTGATTTTGCTCAACTTGGATACCTTAAGCAAACTAAGGCCGATTCACTTAAGCCTAGTTCAGGCTAACTTAGTATATAGTTGATCAATGAGTAAGTCAACTTATTTAATAGTAGCGGCCCGCTCCGGCTTTGCTCGGGTTTTTAACAAAAATTTCAACGATATTAGACGTTGTTTTATTTTTTTAAATAAAAGAACACTTATTTCGGCATAACTATAATAGTTAAACATATGCTGTCGGGACACTTTTTGTCGATAATAATGTGTTCTACAAAGTCGTAGTATATTATTTTATGCTATCATCAATAGTTTTCGCAGGGCACGCGATGTAAAGATTAATTTAGGTAAATTTTTTTCACCTTGGATAACTTTATTGGAGTTTTAGTAAGGATCCCTAATTTTTTCAAAAAAGATTATAGCCTATGTCACTCAGGAATAGTGTAGCTTCGAAACAGTAAAAGAATTTTTCAAATCGGTTCAGTAGTTTCGGAGCCTATTCAATACAAACAAACAAAACTTTCCTCTTTATAATATTAGTATAGAAAATATCTTTAATCTTAAATATTAAAAATCTTAAGTCTATCTTAAATATTTAATGCCCAATGCCGCGCCGTTCGGACCCGCTTGTGTACACAGGTGATTGGGTTTTGGGCGACGAACCGCCAGCAATAACAGTCACGAAAATGCTCCATCCTACAAAAATAATTCACGTACCTTTTACAGAAACATTTGTTGTCAGGATTAGCGCTCTTCGAACCCAGAGTCATGTCAGATATTTCGTAATAATAAGTGCTGATGTTGAAAAGGGTATCTTTCCCTACAAGACTTGCGAACAGCGATCTGTAAGAACGGTTATTGGATTCTTGAGAACTTATCTGAAATTTTATTTGAACCTTAGTTTATGTTAAATACATATTGTAATTTGTTGATTTTGTAGTTTTGGGTCCTTTTTGTTTGATTGTAACTACACGCATTAGCGTTGTTACAGAAATTTCCTTGATCAGCCAAGACTAGCTCATCAGGCAATGAGGTTTTATTTTCGATAAAACGGGTAGAAATCATGTGATAAAATGGACAGATTTTGAAGTGCTTGAAATCATTTTAATAGCTAATTGTGTTATAAGTGATGCCACGTAAAATCCGTTTGGTTCATTTGCTTATATGCTAAAGATGTCTTGAAAACTTTCATATTTTCTTGGATGGGTTTGTGTGGTTTGGCTTTATTGACTGGGCAGTATTTACTCTTAGTCCTCTCTAGCTATGCCCGTGATTAAGTGAAAATCGAAACCCAAAATCAAAAAATTTGAACACAAAAGCTTTTATATGCCTAGGAAGTGTACACACATTAATTATTTATTATAAATTAATCCGTTTTAAAATTTTCGCCTACGTAAATTTATCGGTCACCTTGAGTTAAGTAACAACGTCAGCTACTCTTTTTTTTTTTCTATCTAAGCCTTAGAGGGCTATGCCAGGGTAACCGAACGAGTAGGTGAGCTCACGGGGCTCTAACTTGAGGCGCTCCTCTCTTTTTTTTTTCCACAGCAGAAAATCGCCGGATCCCCACCCCCGCGGCAGGTGGGGTATGTGGGAGTTGAATCTCACTAAAAACTCCTGCTACTCACAACCGGCGCCCTACCGCGGACCGGGCCGGGCCCAGTCGGGGCTATTGAAACGGTGGGACAGGGTTGACGCAGAGCATATTACATCCATCCCGCCGTCCGAGGCGCTACTCTCCTTAGAGATATGTTGTTTCCGAAACGTGTACTTGCCAAAGCCTTTATTATTGGAAACGCTAATTACCTGCATATGTCCGGTTCAAACGTATAAAGTTTCTCCGGAATGTTCCCATCTTCGAGTGGCGGGAAAATAGTCGAGTCTGTACCATTCAGCTGACCGCAGTATTGGTCATCCCACGCTGACATTATCCGCTTTCCTTGGTATGAAATAACATGCCCTAAGTCCGATAGATTCTCAGTACCACGAACCATCTCGTATGGCCCAGAGACTGTACGGTTCATCTGTAATTTAAAAAAAAGATCAATACATTATGGTAGTGTCAGAGCATGTTGTAAGCTTGCACAATTTTTTTATTGCTTAGATGGGTGGACCGGCTCACGGCCCACCTGGTTTTAAGGTGGTTACCGGAGCCCATAGACACCTACAACGTAAATGCTGCCACCAACTTTGAGATATGAGTTCTAAGGTCTCAGTATAGTTACAAAGGCTGCCCCTTCAAACCGAAACGCATTACTGCTTCACGGCAGAAATAGGCAGGGTGGTGGTACATATCCGTGCGGGTTTACAATACGTCCTACCACCAGTACCACAATCCTGTCATTTCTAATATATACTATTAATTTATACTCGTACAAGGGGGAGTGCTCAAGTTAATATCTCATATCAGAGTAGATAGCGGTTTTATTTTTATTTTTAATTTGTTTTTATTTATTTTTATGATTGAAAGATTCCTGGTGGCCCGGAGGCCTTTCCAGTTATACCAGGACCGTTGGGCGAGCAAAGGTTCAGCCAGGAGGGGTGGGATTCGCTAACAACTGCCCGAGTGCCTCCGAAGGAGACCTAACAACTCAAGAGCAATTGCTTCGCGAATGAATCTACTACCGGATCGGAATCGGGATAGCGGTACTGATGCAGTGATGGCATACATCACTACTATATGCTCCGGCGACCATAAATTACCACAAGACCTTCAATTGTATATTTGTGTTGAGTCTCTAAATCGGGCAAAGATTAACAAGACACGTGTTCAGTTAAGTGACTAACGTATATTGGGATTACAACTTAACGTGCTATCGACAGCCCGATTATCCCGAGACTGGCATAGCATCATTGCAATATAATTACCGCTAACACATACATAATATAATTGTTAGTTGCTATGGGGACAATTGTGGTTCCTACGTTTGTTATAAATTAAAATTATATTTTGTTAATATAGGAAACATTAGAATCTGAATGATTCAAGTCTTACATGAGAGAACATGGAGAAATAAAATCCATTGGCGCTTTTCGATATTCTCATCGTTGGAGGCTTTTCCGCACGAATCTTGCCGCAGATTAACCCTGGAATGAAATAATTATTTATTGATAACGTTAATTTTACATAAGTTGTATTAAATATAATAATAATAATAACAAACACTTAAAAACGCCCATTAAGGTATGTGTGTGTGGCTTAGTCACTATAAAATATACTAAATGATTTGCATCTCATATTAAAAGCGTTAATCTTTTTACGATAACTTTTTAAATATTTCAAATCTCCTGATTACATACATAAATAATTGCTTTGACTACTTCAAATGTTCATCGAGATTACATGAATGATGTTTTTTCTTCGTATTATTATGGTTATCCGAATTGATGATCCAAAGCTCAAGTACAGTTATAATTTTTTTACTTAATGTAGAATCTACTCGATTCCGTCCTAAATTCGGATTTGACAGACCCAAATCAAAATTCAAACTGGACAATATATTATGTATACATATGTATGTATATATTGTTAGATACGAAAAGAAAATATTGTTTAATGTGTGTAGTAAAATATAAAACTATGAATATCGATACTAAAGCATTTCATTTCATTTAATTATTAATTAGTTAGTCGAAGTTTCAAAATCGTAGAAATGGAGGGAGCCATGAAAATTCAATGCGCCATTTTCGACGCGGTCCGGGCTATGAAGCAAATTCACAAGACAAACTTGCTTTGATTCGTTCATGATAGCTTAATATTGACGATCGCATTTTTGGAGCGTTTGGGAGGCTAATTTAATGAGCGATGCCTTGTGGTAATAACACGGATAATGTTAAAAAACACTCAACATTTCAATGGCACACTCCGGTTGTATTTGTGTAGGTTTTTCGTGACAAACTGAAAAGGCAAAGTCATACCCATAAGAAACAGCTCTGGTACATCTGAAAGTATAGAAGAATCTAAAGTTTCATGCCAATTAACAAGAAAGGGAATAAAGCCTTTATGGAAGCATATTTACACGCATCCCACCAGTACCGGCGAGTTGGAAGCTTGAAATGCTGTTTCTTAGTTTATTGTTATATGTATTATATTCATTGTTTATCTATATATTAATACGTGAAGCAAAAACTTTGTATCCTTTTTACGAAAATTGCGCGGACGGGGGAGTATGAAATTTCCCACAATTCTAGAGATTATAGAGAAGGACTGCAGAATGTTAATATTTTTTTAAATTATGCATAAAAATACATTATATCAATAATAAAAAAAACATTACACACACTACCATCTATTTAACACACACACGCATGCATACTATTTGTTTATTGTCAAACTTTTCTTATTGCTTATAGTCTGACGTCAAATTGAGAATAGATGAAATATTGTTTGTCTTTATTAATATTTGTAATAAAGTGTAGTCTTGACGAAATCTGTGATTATAGAAGTGTGGAGTCTGTGCTTATATAGAGCGTGTGTGGTATTATGTGATGATAATTATTAATAAGACACGACAGTTTGCAACCTGTTTATTGTGCGACGACTCGACACAGACTGTCTAAACTAAGCCCGCTACAGAAGTATAATAGTCTTTGACAATTGAATCGGAATAGTGTATTTATAATTTCAATTAATTGTAGTCGAATTTCGACTACCGGGGGACCACTAGTATCAATAAAAATACTCTGCATTCGACGAGAAGGCAAAATTCTTTTTATAGGCATCATTTCCTGTACGTCAAGCACGAATATCTATCGAATTCGTAATGTAAATGTATCGAGTCCTCGATACGAAAACGGCTCATTACATTAGATGGTAGAACTCGATAGCTAGCCTTCTAGATTTACGTTACCGTATGTCAAAACGATTTTCGTGCTCTCGATATGAGTAAAGTTTCGAGTTTTGAAAACGTGACGATTCGATTGCTTTTTTTTATTTTATTGCTTGGATGGGTGGACGAGCTCACAGCCCCCACCTGGTGTTAAGTGATTACTGGAGTCCATAGACATCCACAACGTAAATGCGCCACCCACCTTGAGATATAAGTTCTGGGTCTCAAGTATAGTTACAACGGCTGCCCCACCCTTCAAACCGAAATGCATTACTGCTTCACTGAAATAGGCAGGGTGGTGGTACCCAACCGCGCGGACTCACAAGAGGTCCTACCACCAGTAACGAAACGAAAGTAAGTAAATTTATTTGTGCTGCTGAAATTAATTCTTTTTAAGGACGGTAGGGGCATTGTTTAAATCCTATACTTATATATTATTTCTTGATAGCGATACGAATTCCTTTTAAGTACCCCAAGCACCGGTCAACGTTCTCGTCGAACGCGTCGCTTGCGACGAAGGGCTCGGCGAGTAAATTAACCCACAGAGTTTCTTGCCGGATCTTCTCAGTGGGTCGCGTTTCCGATCCGATGGTAGATTCTGCGAAGCACGGCTTTCGCTAGGGTACATATTAGCAACATCGTCAGGTTTGAGCCCCGTGAGCTCACCTACTAGTTGAGGTTACGCTGATATGGTGTCTCTAGACTCTAAACCATCAGCTTAGGTAGGAAAAAAAATACGAATTCTTTTTTAATAGTCATTCGTGCTCGCCCCTCTGGGTGCTATTAAGAATAAAAAAAAAATTAATAAAGCGAATAAGGGTGGAACCAGTTTCAATAATGAACATAGGATGAAACTGACGAAAGTAATCATATTGACATTGCTATTTATTTTATGTAGGGATTTTTTTATGACTGATATATTAAAAACAGCTCGATGAGATTGAAATGAAGGGAAGTAAATAAATAAGGGATTTATTGTCTATTTTTTTCTTTGACATCTGTATGCGTAGTTTTCGGTGATCAGGAATATTAATTATGGAACAGTTAACAATTTATTTTAGCTCCGTTTGTGTTATATTGAATGTATCTTATAATATCGATACGATCATATAAAATGACGCTTCAATAGGCTTAATTGAGAATTCCTGAAGATAATTTCAGGGAATTGAATACCTATTCATTTCGTCTCACAAGGCTCGTGCACGTGTCACACTCAATTAGGCAAATTAAGTAAAAGCTCTTTTTATTCCCTTGATATATTATAAGTTTCGTAAATATGCCGCGAATATATTATTGTGTATAATGGTAATGCGGCTCTTACCAAAGGACGGGTCGTCTCATGTGGCCGCATATAAAAAATATATTATGTATAAGGTAAATTGTGTGTATATTGTTGTTATATATATTGAGGTATAAGGTTGATTTCATTCTGTTTGTTTACATTCTCAAAAACGCCGACTGCGGCGAAGGTGGCTTGTGTCGAAGGCGGAAATAAAATTACGGGGATATCATTTAGCAATATACTTTAGGTGTAATTGTAATAAGGTTCATTTTACTTTTTTATTAGTCCATTTGACGACGCGTTTACAAAGGATATTCAGTTGAATACCTAGATATTGGAATCGATATCGGATCGGAATCGCGACCCGCTGAGAAGGCGAGAAACAAAACAGGCTGATGCTTAGGTTAGGTTACACGTCGAACTCTTTGCCGCCGTTAAGTATTCTCTACAAGCCTTGTTTGAAGAAGGACATGTCATAGCGCTCGAGAAACACCGTGGAGAGGAGCTTATTCCAAAGCCGGATGAGATGAAAATCTTTGGAAACGCACTGTTAATCTAAATCGTAATAAACGTGTTTAATTTTATAATTGTAACAGTTCGTATATTTAAGGGTATTAGTAATAAAATTACTAGAAAATGGCTTATTGGAATGAGATGAAATTTAATACCAAGACGGTTTATATTCCGTATTACAGAAAGCAGATGGGATACTTATTATCGTGGTCAACGACTCGACCCGGGCACCGGATATGTCTGCTATAGTAAGCGTGACAGTGCGTTTTCTGATTCGAGATTTCACATATAATTTTTTTTTCCTACCTAAGCTGAGAGCTTTGAGAGACTATATCAGCGTAACCTTAACTAGTAGGTGAGCTCACGGGGCTCGAACCTGACGACGTTGCTAACACGAACCCTAGCAAGAGCCGTGCTTCGCAGAATCTACCACCGGATCGGAAACGCGACCCACTGAGAAGATCCGGCGAGAAACTCAGTGGGCTGTGTCTGATGGTTAATTTACTCGTCGAGCCCTTCGTCGCAAGCGACGGGTTCGACGAGAACGATGACCGGTCACATACCAACGAACTCAACTGGACCAGGGAATAATTTCGGGTTTTCTGAAATACCAGTTAAATTAAAAGCCATATTCGAATGCTTAAATGGAAATTATGGAATTTCGGAATATAATGTGCCTCATATCCGTTCTCGCTAATTAAGTTCTAATTCCTTGAAAGTACACAATCCTATATAAGTGTGTTAAGGTAAATATTTGTGTTATTCGTACAAGCAATTTCCTCGAGTGAGAGACAAATCTTCTTCCATTTAGTTTACCGATTCAACTAAATGTTGTAACATTTCTTGAATTATTCATGTCATGTTTTAGATGACTTTTTAGTTCTATCCAAAACGTGTGTGCTTAACAAGTTTAGCTTAATTGTCTAAAACTAAAATAACTATCATTAAAATAATACTTATAATTATGATTTTATTCAGACCGCATGCACCATTAAGAAAACGTTGTAAATGGTGTCTCGTTGAAAAAAATACTGTAAACATTTGAAATTCAAAGCGTTCGCCTGATAATGTAAAGCAACGTCACACTAGCTAAAGGTGAGGCTAAAATCGTATCTTACTTAGCAGAAGAAATGGTATAAAATGAAACCGGCTTATGCGAAAACCTTTGTTTCAACTTTTCGGAATTTTATATACTGACATTTTTTTTTTTTGATGCAAGTAAATTATAATTAGAGTAAAAAAAAATTTTCTTTCCCCATTTTAAGCAACATTTAGAACATTATCTCAATTAGTCGTGGGGATGATAGCATATTAGTCAAAAATGAAAATGGTTAGCTCATCGCTTATTTTGCTAATTATCATTAAATAAAACAGAACGTATTGTGTTAAGCAGAGTCTTGGAAGAGCTCTCTGGTGTCCTCTTTAACTACCAATATCGCCATAGACAGAATTCCATTCAAAAATCAAGTATGTACGTACCTAAAGCTGTATTATCTCCTTCGCAGTTCAGAAATAAGCCATCGAAGAAGAGATCTTTCACTTTGACGGTCTGGAACGGGTCGGTGAGGTTGGTGAAAAATTGTTCTAATGCTCTGTTGATCATTCCGACAGCAGCTGGCATCATTTCTTGGACTGATATAATCGCAGCCTGAAAAACAAATGCTTCCTTCAATGTTTGCCGGCTGTTTGTTCGCTTCGTAGGTCGATTTTACAACGTAGTTGGATTCCCGTTTTTAGTTATTATTGTTACGCCGGTAAGAGTAACGCCATCTATCGCCGAATAGTTGGACGAATATCGAAGGACCTAGTAGCACCTAGAACGCTCGCTTGTCAAATAACGGTAAGTACTATTTATATATATATATTATTGTCTTTGTAGGCTGATGAGCATACGGCCCACCTGATGGTAAGTGGTCACCGTCGCTCATGGACGTCAGCAATGCCAGGGGCAGAACCAAGTCGCTGCCTACCATAAGGTACTCTCCACAAGCCTCGTTTGAAGAAGGACATGTCATAGCGCTCGAAAAACACCGTGGAGTGTGTGGAACTAGAGTGTGAAACACCGTACTAGAGATGTATGGAATATGCTCGATAATTTTAGGGATGAGGTATCGATTATAAAAACGTTGCAGGAATGGCACGCAGTCAGTTAGTAATCGGAACTACTCGAAGCGAAACAGCGAACGGATCACCTGAAGCGAGGCGGAAGAAGCGAATTGAAGGTTTTAAAGTGTTTATTGAGAATTTTAAAGTGTTTGTGAAGTGTTCTGAGTGTTCTAAGTGTTGAATATAGCTTTAAGTTGTACTTTGGTGAACTTTTATTTATCCCGAACCCCAGCGCGTAACATTATCATTGTGAAATATGTTTATTATTATTCGTGATTTGAGTGGATTTGTTCTTATGTTGAGCTTATTCCGGCACCATTAAAATAGAAGTAAATGCTAACTCTGTGTATGTATTTGAATTCGGCAATCATTTATTTATTGTAATTTAAAAACATTATTTTCTGCTTTCTGTTAATCTGATGTTGAAAATTGGAGATCGTTGCGCTCTAACATTGTCTGTCAACTTTGGTATGGTACGTATACATTTATAGAAACTAGAGGTCCCATAGTAGTCGAAATTCGACTATAATTAATTGGAATTGTAAGTTTGTACACATACTATAATCACAAACTTCGCCAAGGCTACACTATAAAAAAATATTAATAAAGACAAACAATATTTAATCTATTCTCAATTTGACCACAGACGTCAAGAACAAAGTTTGACAATAAATAGTATGCATGCGTGTGTGCGTGAAATACATGGTATGTGGTCTCAAATACATTAAGTGTATAATCTATGGTATGTGGTGTGTGTAATGTTTTCTTTATTGATTTAATGTATCTTTTATGCATTATTTAAAAAAAAATATTAGTATTGTGCACTTCTTCTCTATATTCTCTATAAGTGTGGAAAATTTCATACTCCTCCGTCCGCGCAATTTTCGTAAAAAGGGATACAAAGTTTTTGCTTCACGTATTAATATATAGATAAAATGAGCATTCTCGAATCAAATTGGACAGCTTTACACAATAGGACAATTTGTTTCTAGAATTATGGGGCATGTCGAAATTCAAACTTTTTGTTTAATGCATAAGGAGAGGAACGAGCTCACGGTCCACCGAGTTTAAAGTTTTTATTTTTTTATTGCTTATATGAGTGGACGTGCTCACAGCCCACCTGGTGTTAAGTGGTTACTGGAGCCCATAGACATCTACAAAGTAAATGTGCCACACCGAAACCGAAAAGCATTACTGCTTCAAGGCAGAAATAGGCAGGGCGGTGGTACCTACCCTTGCGGACTCACAGGAGGTCCAGTAAAAAGTTGCCTGTACCTTTATTATCTTTATTATCTCAATCATTAAGGGTTTTAATTCTTCATTATATAATTGATTTTGTTTTCATAATGCTCAGGCGATATCGAAGCAGAGCCGCACGCGATTATGTTAGGTTCGTAACCTAACCTAGAATAGCCTTGTCAATAAGGTAACGGCTAGGAATAGAAGAACATTTTTCTTGAATAAAACAAAATATATTTTTAATATTACAATACCCAACGCGTTAAATGTAATGTGTGTTGTCTTTGTGTTGGCATTAGTTCGAGGTTGGCTCAAGGTCACTGAAATTATAAAATCCAATACATTTATATAAAATCAACAACGTGTGATTATTTCACCATGTTCTTATAGTTAATTGCCAATAAATATCTTCCAAAACGATGCTTGAGTTTTTGTTTTGTTTTTTTTAAGATTTTTTTTTAGCGCGATTAAAATTGATTACATTCGAAGTTTTAGCGCGAGAATTTAATATTTATTATGAGCTGTCAGAATATAAGCATTATTTATTTTTATGGTGTTACGAAATTCATTATTACATTAGTCATTATATTATTTATTGTTCTTCCATGGTTTTTATAACGGTGAACAAAAAGTGATTTAATTTTTACATCGCGATAATTTATCTATTGGATTATCTTATTTTTTAATACCGCTTAATTGGGAAAAACATGGTTGAGACGTTGAGACGACGTCAGAAAGAATATATAATTATTACTATTATTGTTATTGTGTATTGTATCAATAAATAAATTGATTAGATTGTACTCTTCTACCCACTTATGTAAAGCTCTCCCTTTTTAAGAAAGGTTGGCTGGTAGATAACTCAATTGTTGAGTTAAGCTCGCCATTTTATAACATTTCGCAATTATTATGCGTGTACAATAAAAAATAAAGAATATAATGAAAATGATTTAGCCGAGACTAAAACTGAAAAAGTAGTTATTTATGACGGTGATGTTAGATACACAGCAATAGCGGCTAAAACCCCTGTGTATTATATAGTATAGATGGTAATAATATTATATAATATACTTCTAGTACACGTTTCAAGTCAAGTGCTGTAATTCACTTTTTTTTCCTACCTAAACTGATGACCTTGAGAGGCCTTCAGTGCAACGCTAACAAGTAGACGCTCACGGGGCTCAATCCTGACGACGTTGCTGACACTAACCCTAGCAGTACTCCGCAGAACCTACTACCGGATCGGAAATGGGACCCACTGAGAAGATTCGGCGAGAAACTCAGTGGGCAGTGTCTGTGGGTTAATTTACTCGTCGAGCCCTTCGTCGCAAGCGACGGGTTGAAGTCGACGAGAACGATGACCGGAGTAATTCACATTGGATGCTTATGGGCTCTGACCATTTAACACTAAGTAGGCCAAGGCAAAAAATAAACTAGAAGAATAAAATTGCTGATTGTTTGTATCAACTTTCATAGAAGGGTACGGTCCAACTCATGGTCCACCAGGCTTAAATGTAAGTTTTAATGTAGGCAGCGGCTTGGCACTGCCCCCGACATTTCTGACGTCCATGAGCGACCTGTGACCGCTTACCATCGGGTGGGCCGTGTGCTCGTCTGCCTACAAAGGCAATAAAAAAAAAAGGAAAAAAAAGTTCCCGGAGTCGACCACACCATTGGCAAGTCATCTATTGATTCAATAATAGATTAAATCAATCATTTTAATTGATTTTAATCGATTAAACCTTAATGGTATTGATTTTGCATGTTTCATTTTATAAGTCGTTAATTGATTTAAATTTGAAAACTCAGAAACGTTATTGTTTGTTTTACGAAAATTCTTCGTAAAAAACCCGCATCTTTGATTTATTAATATAATTATAGCTCGGTAATCGTTTTTTGATGTTCGAACAAGCAATTATCTAGCGCGTACTCTATTTAACAATCTTGCTAATTTTTTTAAACACACGGAAGAGCTATATGTACGCAGTCCTAACAAAATAAAGAATATTATTAAACGAAGTCTGTAGCCAGAAATCTTTCATGTTTCTCTGAACGTAATGTTTTTAGATAAAATGTATGAGTGAAGTAAAACACTGGAATTGTTTGTTTTGTTCATTTTTTCATATTAAATTTTTTTAATAATAAATTGATATCCTGTATGAGCCCGGGAATTACCCGTGGCTTGATTGCATAAATTATGTAACAGTTTTTTTACAGCTTGTATGGTGGTAGTGCAAGGTTGAGGGGGAAGAAGTCGGCCGAAGAAGACATGGATGGAGTGCGTGAATGACGATATGAGAGAGAGAGGAGTGAGCATTGAGATGATAGAAGAGAATGGAAGAGAATAATTAGCTGTGCCGACCCCAACTAGTGGGATAAGGTGCGGTAAATAATTTGGATGTCGTCCGCCATTTTTTTTTTTTTTATTGCTTAGTTGGGTCGACGAGCTCACAGCCCACCTGGTGTTAAGTGGTTACTGGAGCCCATAGACATCCACAACGTAAATGCGCCACCCACCTTGAGATATTAGTTCTAAGGTCTCAAGTATAGTCACAACGGCTGCCCCGCCCTTCAAACCGAAACGCATTACTGCTTCACGGCAGAAATAGGCAGGGTGGTGGTACCCACCCGCACGGACTCACAAGAGGTCCTACCACCAGTAAAATCTCGAGTAGTGACGTGAAGATTTCAACGGTATTGCGTAAGGTCTGTATCGCTCTTCAGAGATCATCACGCACGACTGTTTCGCGGTAGAAGCAGAGTACAATCAACTGCCAATAGTCTCGATTTTGCTCAATTTACGAATATTGCTTAAATCATTTTGTTATTCAAAGTGCTCTAAGTACGTATTTTCTTTGAAAAATTATCTGCCGCCTTAGGCCGCCTGTCCACCGGAGCGGAGCGAGGCAGTGGAGCGGAGAAACGGAGAAATATTATCCAATAAGATTGCATAAATGATTTTGACAGGCAACCTAAGGCGGCTGATAATTTATCTAAGTATTTGAAAACCGGCCGAGTCGGATTGCTCGATTCAAGGGCCCCGCGAGTCTTATCCTTTAGGCCACGACGACTTTTGTGAAGAACATCGACAGGATCCTACAAAACTTAAGCGTAAGAACAACAAGAATTTAAAAGAGATATGAGAGAAACAAGATTAGAAAAGAGTTTGTTTGGCCGGTTTTTCTGAGGACTCGGAATCGATGGTGAGCTAACATATTTTGAGTTTGACAGTGAGCAGCTGTGTCGACGACAATACGATGATTTATAGGTGAATTTAATGTTATTTACGAGCTACAGAAAATGTGTATCAAAACTAAAATCAACTGTTAATCTAATCAATTTCTTTGTTAGCGAATAGAGGGCGCAAAGAAAAATAAATTTAAATACTTATGAGTATATCTATTCTAATTACTTTAAGGTAAAGCCTCTGACACCGGATTTTTTGTCCGTCGGCTCGTTTAAGAGTTACGCAAAAACTTAATGGTGTTAAGCATAATTTTTTTTTAGTTCAAACTATGATAAGCCTCATCGTACATAACCGGTATTTCTCGTTATGATGGTGGGAGTCGACGATATAACAAGAAACCATAATGTTTCGTTAGTAAGTGCCACCAACGTAAATAGAACTCTAATTTTTTTAGGCGTTTGTAGCCGGGAGCGCTCGCGTGTATAGATAATATTAAGAAAATAATAACGATAAAACATTTTCAGATTACTTTAATAATTGAAAAAAAAAACTGGCGATTAAACAGAGATTGTTTGTAAGACTTTTATATAAGTAAAGGGATGTTTATTCTCTTAGGGCGCTGCGAAAGGGGAACATAAATATATATATATATTTTTGTTTTTTTTTTTTATTGCCCTTTTAGGCACACGAGCATACGGCCCACCTGATGGTGAGTGGTTACCGTCGCCCACGGACTTCAGCAATGCCACGGGCAGAGCCAAGCCGCTGCCTACCGCTTAATACTCTCCACAAGCCTCGTTTGAAGAAGGACATAATGTCATACCGCTCGGGAAACACCGTAGAGGGGAGCTCATTCCATAGCCGGATGGTACGTGGCAAAAAAATCAAATTTCAATCAATCGTCAAAATCTAAAACAAAACTCAATTGCTTTATCTCATTTTAAGTATTCAGTCCGCGGGGTAGCATTACTTGGTTAGACGAACTCATAGCCTCCCTATGTTAAGTGGTTACCGGAGTCCGCAGACAATACAAACATGTTTGAAGCCAACTTCGAGACGCCTTGAGAGGTCAGAAGCTCTATTATATTGTAATGTAACGCCGGTAAGAGTAACACCATCTATCGCTGAATAGCCGAAACGAATATCAAAGGGAATAGTAAAATCTAGAACGCTCGAGAAGTGTTACGCCATCTATTGTCAAATAGCGGAAACGCATATCGAAAATACTCGACTTGTGAGGAATGTTCTCGATAAATCTAGGGATGTCGTATAAACTATAAAAGCGCTGCAGAGATGGCGCAAAGTCAATTAGTAATCGGTTCTACTCGAAGCGGACGGATCACCTGAAGCGAAGCGGAAGAAATGAATTAAGAATTTTAAAGTGTTATGTGAGTGTTCTGAGTGATAAATACAGTTTTGAGTTGTACTTTGGTGGAACTTTTATTTATACCTAACCCTAGTGCGTAACAGTATGATGATACTCCCACTCTTCAAATCCGAATGTATGATTGATTGCCTTGCGGCAAACATGGGCAGGGCGCTGGTACCCTTCCGATAACTAAATAAGTCATTATCAATAAACGCAAAAAAAACACATACCATGTAAGAGAAATTGATGACAGTGAGTTCGTCGTCTTCCCTCAGGTCGCCTGAAGCTACAGGATCGAACACGAATGTTTTCTTTAGATTATATTTAATAGTATCGTTATCGCCGTAACCCAATATAATTTTCTCCCTGTACTGTCTGAAAAATAAAATTGTCACATTATTATGTGAAATTACATTACATTTACATTACATTACATTTATGGCTTACTTGCTGTAATGTTTTCGAAGCGTCGAAAGTAATGGAATGACATATAAAAAACACGAAATTAAATCGTAACAGTTATTTTAGTGAAGTACGTAATAATATATGGTTCGCAAAAAAAAACCGTAGAAAAAATATTCCATAAGGATTTTTTTTTATAGAAAGATTTATAACCCTGGTGGTAAGACCTCTTGGGAGTCCGCACGGCTAGGTACCACCACCCCGCCTATTTCCGCTGTGAAGACCTTAGAACTTATATCTCAAGGTGGGTGGCGGCATTTACGTTTTAGATGTCTATGGGCTCCAGTAACCACTTAACATCAGGTGGGCTGTGAGCTCGTCCATCCAACTAAGCAATAAAAAAAAAGTACATAATAATATAAGGCTCAAAAAGAAAACCGCAGAAAAAAATCCTTATTTGTAGTTTCCTATTATCAATCTTTCCCTTCTGTCAAAATAAAGAGTACCGGAGATACGTTATTTTATTACTTCAACGGAAGAATCAATAAAATACAAGCGCGGCCGTAAAATATTTGTAGACATCAAGTTGCCATCTATTGTCGCAACTTTATTGCCATCGATCTCTCTCAAAAGAGGTTCCTTTTTAGTAGTCATCTCAATGTATTGAAGGAACGGTTGCATTTATTATTTTGCTTCGTCGAGATATTAAATGTGGGAGTTAAATACGACGTCCATCGATTTATCTTTACTAGAGGTCCCGCAGTAGTCGAAATTCAACTATAATTAATTGGAATTGTAAGTTTGTACACTATTATGATTGTATTTTATACTTCTATAATCACAAATTTCGCCAAGACTACACTATAAAAAATAATAACATAGACAAACAATATTTAATCTCAATTTGACAACGGACACCATGTTTGACAATAAATAGTATGCATGCGTGTGTGCGTCAAATACATGGTATGTAGTGTGTGTAATGTTTTCTTTATTGATTTAATGTATCTTTTATGCATTATTTAAAAAAAAAATTAGCTTTGTGCACTTCTTCTCTATATTCTCTATAAGTGTGGAAAATTTCATACTCCTCCGTCCGGGCAATTTTCGTAAAAAGGGATACAAAGTTTTTGCTTCACGTATTAATATATAGATATTTGTAATTGGGACATTTTCAAATTTGGGGCCAAAATCGAGTTATTTGATTTAACTCTCGTAATCTTAATGTTACCGTAATTATAAGTACAGTAAATTTGTTGTCATGACAACAGGCACGTGGTCCTATAACTATGTATTCGTTAACACTGTTAAATTAGGAGCTATACATTAAAAATTACCCCAAATCTCATTCGTATCACTGGTTAGAAATTCAAATTCTTACATGTTTGCTACTTTTCCAGTAATGCGTGTTGAAATTCGGCAATTTTAATTAATCAGTATATAATACAATAATAAAGGAAAACTAACTGGATATTAGAACATTATTAAAAACAAAAGAAGTAAAATTTCTAAGCTTTTAAAAAAAGTTGAAGTCGTCGTGGCCTAAAGGATAAGAAATCCGGTGCGTTCATATCGAGCGATGCACCGGTGTTCGAATCTCGCTGGCGGGTACCAATTTTTCTAATGAAATACGTACTCAACAAATGTTCACGATTGACTTCCACGGTGAAGGAATAACATCGTGCAATAAAAATCAAACCCGCAAAATTATAATTTGCGTAATTACTGGTGGTAGGACCTCTTGTGAGTCCGCACGGGTAGGTACCACCGCCCCGCCTATTTCTGCCGTGTAGCAGTAATGCGTTTCGGTTTGAAGAGTGGGGCAGCCGTTGTAGCTATACTGAGACCTTAGAACTATATCTCAAGGTGTGTGGCGCATTTACGTTGTAGATGTCTATGGGCTCCAGTAACCTCTTAACACCAGGTAGGCTGTGAGCTAGTCCACACATCTAAGCAATAAAAAAAAAAAGTTCCTCTTTACATAGTCATCCGTGTTGGCGTTATCAAATGCGTAAAATGAGAAATATAAATGAATACTAAATAATATTTATATTATCAATAAATGAGTGATTGACTTGATTGTGATGAAGCACTTTTTATTCAGAACATGCCTAAATACAAAAAATGGAAAATCAGAGAAAGTTTAAATTCATGAAATCGTTACTTTTTTGGTCGCAAAATTGAAACCGACCCAAATGTTCGTAATTCGTAAGTGGCACTGAACTGCTAAACGCATATGTAATTAAATCTTAACTGGATGATTAAATTGATGGTTCAGCTCGGATATACAGATAATTGAAGACATAAGTGGATGAAGGGGTCAAGTACAATTTTTAAGATTTTTGAGTTTTTACATTGAATGAAGGTGTTATGTGCCTATAAAGTATATTAGATCTTAAAACTTCGGGTTTAAAGCCTATTTTTAGAAATAGCATGTGAAGAAAAATACAAGTAACAAAAGTTTGGTGCCCGTTTCCTCAAAATTAACAAATTGTATCATATCCCCTTTATCCACTCATGTCTTCAATTGTAAAGATATAGATAATTGTAGTTTTATACGCATTTAAATAACTTATATCATATATACATAATTCCAGAACATTCTGAAATTATTTGATCACCCATAAAATACTAACATTATCTTATATATTTCTGTAGCGAAGCTGTAATGCATTGAAGGTTGGACAGCAGCTTTTGTGACCTCAACCGGGAAGTAAGACTTTGGTGTGCCTCCGAAGATTACAATAACAACCCTTAATCTACTTATAGACACTTTCATTATATTGAATATACGTCGGAAAACGGTCCAGTAATCACGGAAATATTCATTAGCGCCTTGATCTTATATCTTCTCTCTCTCTCTAATCTCTATCTTGTATATAAATATATAATCTGAATCTCGGAAACGGCTCCAACGATTTTCATAAAATTTGGTATACAGGGGATTTCGGGGGCGGTAAATCGATCTAGCTACGATTTATTTTCAGAAAATGTTGTTTTATTCGTGTTTTTTAAAAATCAACTTTATCAATAATCAACTTTATGACTCTTCCCGACATCTATTGGCGAATAATAAAACTATTTTTCGTAATTGAAAGCAACTAACTGCTTTAAAGACACAATAACACTAAAGCTACTTCAGCAGATGGCGTTGTTAAGTAACCCGAAGCCAATGAGTGTTTGGTTTAAGGCTAGACCAAGAAAATGAATTATTTATTTATATTATTTGTGTTTTTTTAACTCACGTGTTCACTTAAAAAAGCCTAAACGATCTTGGAATATTTCATCATTTTATAAATATGTAATTTATATTTAAATATAAATCGGTCATCATCTAGTATTGGTTAAACCTAAGCCCTTAGCCAAGCCAACTCTATTGCGAAGTACAAACATGTAATCATTATCTTTGCAATTCGTATAGCATGTAGTTTTTAACAATGATTTTTTACACAACATATTATTTAGCTCCGATTACCAGTGACATAGTAATGTGATGCGTGCCTTTGTAAATTACACATCTACCACACGTTACCGCTAACTGTCAGCATATTTGTTGGTTGGCTAACTTGTTTCATTATGAAGTCGGAAGTGTAATATAGCCGGAAGCGTTAGTACTTCTCTAAGAACCAATTACCCTTTTGTCGAACATTGAACTTCGTACAAGATATTCGAGTAATTGCGTTACTTGTAAAGCTTGCGATTTGCTAATTAATCTGTGCTATATATGTATAACGTTTATCTGTATAGGCATTTATGGTGTGATGTCTATAGATTCGGATATTCACTTATCCGGTAGTAGATTCATTCGCGAAGCAGCTCTTTTTGAGTTATTAGGTCCCCTTTGGAGACATTCGGGCTTCTTCTTCTCGCTTCGGTTTCCTCAATACTGAGGGCTGTGACCACCTCCTCGCAACAAGAGTCTATTCCGGATCATTCCGTGCCATTTGCTTCTATCTGCTGCCGAGTGTAAGCATCGTGAATTGTGGTGTCGAGGGTTGTGCGGATCTGGTCAGGCCAACGTGTCAGGCCTCCACCTCGTAGTCTTCTTCAGTCCACCTTGCCAGTCACCATTAGCTTCTCCAAGCTACCGTTGTCCTTTCTTGTGGCCAAAGTAATCCAGAACTGTACGAAGGCCGATGGTAGAAAGCCTCGTCTTTATCTGGAGTTCTTGGAGGATCGACACGTTGGTGCGACGTACTGTGTAATTCCTAGCATTTTTCACTCGGACTTGGCACTCGGGCTGCTGTTAGCAAATCCCAACTCTCCTGGCTGTGCCTTTGCTCGCGCACCTGTCCTGGTGAAACTGGAAAGGCCTCCGAGCCCACAGTAATGCATCAATCATAAAAAAGGTATCCGGTATCACTTGATCCGGATCACTTGATACCGGCTAGGCTCGCAGATAGTTCGCCCATTTAGAATAATAAAAAACCCGTAACATATGATGAGGTAGCCCCACATAGTTAAAATAAACTCACATTCATCAATCGATACAAGAAAAAATAATTCTTACTTGTACACATAGGGTCCAATTTCCTTTAGATTCGGTTTTTCTCCTTGATTAATAGCGTCGCGGTTGGTCACATTGAACACGTAGATTTTGAAGTCCAAAGGCATCGGGAGCTTCACCCATTTATCGTACATCTTCGATGTGTTTGATATCTGAACGTTCTGAAAGGAAAAACGAAAAAGATTTATCACTGCTGCATCATGATTAAGTAATCTAATCTAAGTCTATAAGAGACTTCGTTAATAACAATAGCGGTAGGTTCGTTCTACCTCCAGCACGTATGTGGGTATTGTCCTAAATAAGAATTTTCTTTTGAGAGATGAAAATTTTAAAGTGACATTAAAAAAAAAGTGGAAATCAAGCCGGAATTATTTTCAATTAGAAAACATCTTATACGAACAGCATTTCACTCACACGTCCTTGAATGTTCAAGGCTCAATAGACCTAGGGCTTGGGGAACCGTTTACAACATGTTCTATTTATCTTCTTTTTCACTTTCAGTTATATTAGAGAAATTGCCTATTTCCTACCTTCTCTATTTTTTTCCGTCTCTAATTCATTCTACGTTATTCTACGTTATACAGAGTACATAAACAGTCGATGGTTGAATGTAAATTTTTAATTGATTATTTTTTTATATTATATAATTAAAATTATTTTTGTTTTATTATTGTTATTATTTTTATTTTATTCCCAAATTGTAGTTATTGTTTTTATTGAAATTTTATATTCTATATGTAATTTTATTATTAATTAATGTAATGTGGATGCAAAATCTGAAGCAAATAAAAAGATATATATAAATATATATAATATACTTATATAGATACGATTTATCTACACTCATAAACTATTTTTAATGGCATATGGAGGCACCTTATTTATATACTATATAAATGTACACATATAAAACAGACGATTTTATTTAAAGGACTCAAACCAGAAAAAATAAAACTGGTTCCTTTTTGTTTTATTTATTAATATTTTATTATTTATTCATCAGAATTTCACCCTTCAACTATTGTATAGGTGGAAAAGTAAGTAAGCCGTCGACTGTACCCAAAAAAATATCTAAAGGGCAGTCATGTGAACTATACGTGTTTTCGCATACAAAATCGCGAGTATAACAAGTTGGGGACGACATAAAAATGAATTGTCGAAAGGTTTGCCTAATGGACCCCTACCGCGTAGTATTCCCAAAGTTTTCGAGCAGGAAAATTTAAGTCTAAATCCAACTAATGTTTCCCTTCGTCCAGTATATTCAAAAAGGAATAAAACGCTTAGCGAACTCCAAACGTCTCTCGCATACATTTCCCTAAGGACGTCATTAATATTCGTTAAGAATAATAAAGACCACTCATATTCTAGGAGATAATGTGTGAGACTGCGTGTTTTAAGCTGATAAGACTGCGTTACGTTTTGGAATGAGGATCAGCATATTCAAATATACGTAACAAACCTTTATGGCATCAACCTGTAGGTGAAGAGTTTCAATATTTAAATAGGCGAAGAAAAAACGGTACAGTACCATTGACACCTCTGTGTTTACCGATTTTTTAAATTTGATGAACGTGTTTAGGTGTTAACAATAAAAAAAAATATGAATACTGTTTGCCCTATGATTACTAGAATATAATAACAGATAATTTTCTTCTTTGTCGTTATAACAAAGTGGTCATATTCGTTTAGTATCTAATCCTGTATATACTTAAAAAAATGTCTGTCTGTCTGTAAGCCATCATCCGATTGTGATAAAACTTGGCATAGTTGTTGTCGGCACGCTATAGAAGATTTCTGTTATCGTGCCACACTCCGAACTTAAACATCAACCCGCTGACTTTCTCGCCGGATCTTCTCAGCGGGTTGCGATTCGGATCCGGTAATAGACTCATTCGCGAAGAACTCATGAGTTTTTAAGTTTCGTTTGGAGGCACTCGGGCAACTGTTAGCAAATCCCCTCCTGGCTGAGCCCTTGCTCGTCCACCTGTCCTGGTGAAACTGGATAGGCTTCAGGGACAAGTTATCCTTCCTTCACAAAAAAAAAAAAAAAAACGTGCCACACACTTGCGATATTAGAGACGTGTGAGTTCAAGATGTCGACGTTTTTCATAGAATTAGTTATAGTCACAGTGGAGCATGAAAACAAACTTTATTTACTTCATTAATTAGCTGTACCAATTAGCAGTACATGACAAATGTTACCTGAATTATAGGTTACAAAGTAGGACAGCGCAATCATTGACAGAATCTTGATATTAAAAATAAGAATAATGAATTAAAAATACAATGAAACATTATATGTAAATAAAATCTTAACTTAAATAACAAAAATTATAAAAACTACACTTAAGTAGAGAAAAATATATAAATAAAACTTGATTACATTTGATCAGATCAATTCTGATTAGGTTTTATTTAGTTGGGAAATATTCCACGTCAGATTTCGTCGGTACGCTGTAAGACAATTAAAAAATACATCTATTTCATGACTTGCAATTTTTTATTTATTGCTTAGATGGTTGGACGAGCTCACAGCCCACCTGGTGTAAAGTGGTTACTGGAGCCCATAGACATCTACAACGTAAAACACCTTGAGATATAAGTTCTAAGATCTCAGTATAGTTACAATTTATCGCAATAATTTATCGCAATAGAGTAGCTTGGAGCTATAACATTGATGGAGACCGCGCTGCCGTGGACTTTGTTGTAGTCCCAAGGGATTCTGCTTAAGGGAGTGCAAACACCCAAATTCGGCGAGCGTGCTTTCTTATAAACGGTTTATATTTCTTGACAAATACGTAGCGACTGATATTGTTGTCTGGATCATGACATTGGGGGTTGGTAGAAATATAAAATTCAATCTTGAACTTGAGTGGTTACGGTTGAATTTTGATTATCGAGCGAACGCTAGTCCTAAGTATTGAAATTTTAATCTTATTAGCTTAAACTATTAGCTTATTAGCTCTAAGTCACTCAATTTTGTTACTGATTTTACTAACTTATAGGTCGACGAAATTTGTGCTCAGAATTGGAAATATTTTGGTTGAAATTGGCGAATTATGACGGTGCCTTGCTAAAAATAACTATTTTAATTCGCTTACATGTCTATCGCTAGGCAAATATTAAGTGAATGCGTATTCCATGTGGACGAAGCGGCGAAAAGCTAGTTAATACGTAAATAATCGTTCAGTGTCTCTCAAAGTTTTGGAAGCCCTGAAATTCTTATTGAAGTATGTTTCCAAACAGTCCTGAGCAGTAAGAAGTGGTTTGGCTGTCTCTGGCTTTAATAACCCAGGCGCGATAATCACCACTGAACATCAAGTAGGCCACCACAGGATGGTTGAATACCAATCAAATTGTGACATCTGGTGATTACAATCGCCTTATCGTTTCCGCCGCTGATTACCCCCAGACTCCTGCTCACCCCGGAGCCAGTTACTCTAGACATGTCCTTACGGATCCATCAGATTCATTAACCTTAGACGCCTTCAGCTATAGCCCTAGGAGCAGACTTAGGGACCCTGGTTACCGTACTCGTCGAACCTAACCACACATCACCCATTTCTTCGCCGAATCTTCCCAAAAAGTTGCGATTCCGATTCGGTAGTAGATTCATTGGCGAAGCAGCTGCCTTTGAGTTGTTATGTCTTCTCCGGGGGTGCTCGGGTGGCTATTGACAAAACAAATCCCATCCCTGTTGGTCGAGTCTGTGTGCACCCACCTGTCCTGGTAAAACTGTAAAAGGTCTCAGAGCCATCAATAATCCTTCCTCTCAAAAAAATAATAATATTTGGTGATTGTGGCGGGTAGTCATTATAACTATACAATACAAGATATTTGACAGATGCCTGAATCGCACTTACGACATTTTCAAGATAATCTTGTATATATATGTTGGAGTATTTCCACTTTCGGGTAGCGACATGGTAAGCGGGCGGTCTTCGTAAGTCAATAAAACCAGAAATAAACTCAGAGCGTATATTAAGCAGGAGCGCTCCGTCCGACACGGCGGCTCGGTCGCTTCTGAGCTCGAGAGACAACAACGGAGCGTTTTTATAGCAAGGTATCGTGGTGGGACGATGTTGTTTACGATTCTTATCTTGCACGTGTTGTTTTCGATGAATGCTTGCATCTGTTGTTTGTCGTCCCATCTTTATTAGTCATGAACTAATGGCTTATAAAAACACGCGCCGACATATATAAGTTCCGAACAACAACATTCGGGAACCCTCAGACACAGCCCACTGAGTTTCTCGCCGGATCTTCTCAGTGGGTCGCGTTTTCGATCCGGTGGTAGATTCTGCGAAGCACGGCTCTTGCTAGGGTTCGTGTTAGCAACTTCGTCAGGTTTGAGCCCCGTGAGCTCACCTACTAGTTAAGGTTCCGCTGATATAGCCTCTCAAGGCTTAGGTAGAAAAAAAAAACATCATTCGGAGGGGTGTGGTACATTAAAGAATGACCTCACGAGAAGAAAGAAGAGAGAAGAAGAAAGAAAAAGGAAGAGAGAAGAGAAGAGTAAAACAACATGCCAAATTCTCGATTCGACCCACACTCAAGAATCGTACCAGCAACCTCATCACCCCTGCCTCGTCAGGCAGGGAGTGCAAGCCCGGGCAGAGGGGATTGCCCTGAGGCCCGACCCGTGCCTCCGCAAGGGGACACGAAGACCCGACGTGCCAACATTCGGACCGTCGGTGGACCGAGCAAGCTTATTCACTTGATGGAAGATTATCACTCCGTCGTTAAGCCTCCAAACTGGTGACCCCGACGTGATCTGAACAGCCTTCTGACACCCCAGATGACCTGTGAGCTTGTCTGCTCATCTAGGGCAAGAAACAAGAATCCATGGAAGGAGCCATGGCATATAAATATTGAATTACGTCACTGCTCATATATTTAGAAACAATGAAACATGATTCTACAATGAGGTTTCTAGAATCCTCCTAACGTCTATTTACATGAAGTGCTTATTAATTCGAGTAATAAGTTATTATTTATGCAATCGCGTAACTAAAGAACCTTCGCACTAATGACAAAGTCTTTCCTCAAGAACAATTGTAGTTTTATTACTTGTTAATTAACTTAGATGTGATTTAATGTTACTTAACGTTTGTAAAGAGTTTTCAGGAGATCTTAATAAAACTAAGTGAGTAAGTTTTGA